TTTTCATCAGAGCCTGGGCATCAATTTCCGAGCAATATTTGAATAATACCTTGTTCAGCACGTTGCGGCCCTCGGCCTGTAAACGGAAAGAAATGAAAAATGAGGGTAATACATCAAAGTAAAATACGGATACACTTTCAATTTTGGACTCGCGGAAAACTGATGAGTTTCAACCAACAAACAAAATGAGCTTAATCAATCGTCCGTTGAAAATTACCAGAGGAAACTTATACTCCGACAAGCAGTGTGGCGATGAAAAAGAAAAAAAGGTGAGCACGAAATTAAATCCTGCGAAAAAAAATCTCAAATACACATGGGGAAAATTACGCCGACATCCGTATCATGATCACTCAACTACAGGATATTACACAGATTTTCTCCTCTTTCTAAATTATTACTGTAAACGAAATAATGCTATACAGTCTTTCAAAGAGAAAAAACGAGGAAATGATGGATAAACTTTACTACGTTTTACAGTAATTGAATACTGTAATTCGCAAGCTTGGATTTTGCCAGCTTAAAAAGTACGAAATTTTCGCACTGCTCTCTGTGATCAGATGATGTTGGGGAAATGTCTAGCGCCCAATGTTTTAAATTTCAACAGCTGAAACAAACGATTTTTTAGTATTCGAAAAAAAAAAAATTTCTGCAGATTTAGGAATAAAATTGAGAAATGAAACGTATACATTAAAACTTTATATATTCAGCAGAACAGCCTTATGCATTTAGAAATGTAAAAACGAAATGCAGCTCCAAATTACCGCGCTGAAATTTTCCAATAAATCTAACGAACAATCATTATTGATCTCGAGTAAAATTTGATCAGGTAATGAGCACGTTAATTGGCTTCGAATTGCGCGCGAATGTTAATGATGAAATAACAATGAACTTCTCGCGAAATTTGAGGCCTTCTTTGATTTTATAGAGCCAGGTTATTCTTGATTTCATTTCGCCTACTTCATTATCTATCCATTCTAAACAATAACATAGTGATATACTGTAAAATACTGAATTAAAGTACCCCCGAAAGTTGATAACCCGAGAAAAGGCACCTGGTCATTAGCCCGAACAATCGGGTGTTATATTCCACTACCAAACAAATTCGAGCACAATTACGCCGAGGAAATGCCCTACCAGTTTTTAAGTAGGCTGTACCATGATTACCGCAGATAAAAAACTGAATTTTCTTAACTCGGAAAATAAATACGGGAAATCGGGAACATTCACACGGTCAAATGCTTCTAACTTCGTCAAAGACTCCCCCCCCCCTCAATTGCGGTATTAAAAGCCCACAAAATTAGAAGTATGTGGCGTGTTGCCTCGTAAACCCGTTTCCACTGCGTGTTTAAAACACGTAAATTATTACTCAAACTTCTTTTAAACTTTAATTTCAAGCGACCAAAAAAAAATTCGAGTTAGGGAAACGAAAATTTTTCGTCGTTGAAAGAAGGAAAAAAAAAACAAGAAATTGTCATCAGTGATATTCTTATTGTCTGACTTGCTTTTCAAATTGATTGACAGTATGCTAAACAAGGGTTAATTCAATCAAGGGTTAATTTGCCCAATCGGTGTTTCACATAATTTAAAAACACATCCAGTTTTATTATTGCTTTTCTCTCTCCTGTCTCTATAAAATAATAAACAAAAAACCTCCAGAAAATTTGAATTAGGGAGACTTAGGTGGGAAAACCTTCTAATCAAGTTAGAAAGATTTTTAATCAAAAGATGATTACAGGAAATTGAAAAAGGTGATAATTTGGGCCTTAAATAGCTTGCAGAATTAGTTGACCGGATGCTGAAGTTGAAGACAAGGGTTTAATGCTTAATTACTCTTTTACTTCCTTTAAAAATTCATCATTTATATTTTCATAGCTTTTCTCTTTTCTGTGTCAGTAAAATAATAGTCAAAAGGCCTCCTGGAAATTCGAGTTATGAAGGTTTGAGGAGAAGAGCTTTTGACATCGGGAGGATTTTAAGGTAATATTTCTATGGAATTCAGACAGGGACTTGAAAACAATTTTACATAGGGACGCATCAACTTATGGAGGTTTGAGTTACAGTTGAACCTCTCCAAGTCGAATTTAAAGAGACCAGCAAAAAAATTGGACTCAGGGAAGTTTCCATTCATGGAGATTTTGAGTTAGGGAAACAAGCATTTTTGTTGTGGGAAACATAAAAGACTTGTAGGAAATTGTAAATGGTGATAATATGGGCATTAAATTGCTTCTTAAATGAGTTAACAGCATGCTGAACTTTTGGGAGGCACGGGTTCGTTTGCCCAATTAGTCTGTCACTTCCTTTCAAAATGCATCAAGTTACTTCTTTTATTGCTTTTCTCTTTCATGTGTCAAAAAAATAATAGCTAAAAAGCCTTCTGAAAATTCCACTTATGGAGGTTTGAGGAGAAAAGCCTTCCACTTAGGGAGGATTTTAACGCATTGCTTCTAGGGAATTCAGACAGGGGCTTGAAAACAATTCAGACATATTTATTTGATTGCATCTAAACCTGCTGTGTATTCAACAAACATGCATGTTTGAAAAGTGAATCTTATACTGTATATTCATTCATGGGGTGCGTTTTGTACTCTTCAATTTGAAATTCAGTCAAACTTCAAGGGACCAGCAAGAATTCGAGTTAGGAAAACAAGCATTTGTGGCGGGGGAAAGAAAGAATAATTACAGGAAATTATGATTCGTGATATTATAGATATTACATGGCTTCTTAAATCAGTTGACAAGATACTGAACTTGGAAACGTGTTTATCTGTCCAATTAGTCTTCCACTTCATTTCAAAACACGTCAATTTATATTCTTATCGATTTTCTCTTTCCTGTGACAATAAAATATTAGCAAAATGGCCTCCAGATAATTCGAGTTCTGGAGGAGACAAGCCTTCCAGTTATGGAGAATATTTTAAAGCATTGTTTTTAGGGGATTCAGAAAGGGGCTTGAAAACAATTCGACATGGTGAGGTTCGAGTTATCAAAGTTCAACTGTACTGTATTGAAAAAAAAAGACAAAAAAACGAGAAGGAAAAATTACCACCAGACTTGCGGGCTAACGGCTTTCAAACAACCACACCTCTCGCAAATCGCGGAAAGGGTGGAACGGGAATGGGACAATGATTATTTCAGACGTACGAAATTTTCCCCCGCGATACTTCAAGAGCGCGGGAGGGGGGAGAGAGAGAGAGAGGGTAACATTTTTCCGTGACTCACCTGAGGATCCAGGACCTGGTGATCATCAAAGTGGGTCATGCTGACGGGCCGGAAGATCATGTTGTCCTCGTTGACCTCCCAGATGTTGGTCTGCTTGTCGGTGAAGATACGCAGCAGGAAGCGGGACTCGGAATTGGGCTGCGCCGTTTGCGGCACCACAATGTAGTTTCCTGGCGGCAGAGTGAAAAACGTGGCCGTTTCCCGGGCCACTGAATGCGTCGTCACGTCGATCGGTTCTTGTTCGACGCAAAAGCCGGTCGTCAGTCGGGTCATGTTGGCTGGCACTTCGTAGACGGCGAAACCAATGGCCTACAAACACGGACACATACAAAGGGACGGAGAAAATTGATAAGGACACACTCACATAGACAAAGCATATGCGAAGGTGGTTTCTAAGCTTTATTAAACTTTCATCTCACTGACTTCCTTGGTTGATTCAAAAACTTCGGTACGCAGGTTACTTCTGGGTACCTTCACCGACATACGTAAACCATCCCTTGCTCAAAAATTGATAGTTTCAATCGAAATTCCAATTTGAAAATTTTCCCATTTTACCAGTTGGTTTCAAGACGAAACTTCCAGGCGAAAAATTATTCTTCCACGCTTTTCCTTCTTCTTCCACGATAAAGCGAAATGACAAAAATGGCTGGATTTCAAGTAAAGGCGTTTTCTCATGACTATTAAATTTGCGCAAATATTCAATCGTATTTTTGGTTTAAAAAAAAGAAGCGGAAAACGTTCAAGATTCGCTTTATACTTGATAATAAACATATTCTACGCATCATCCGATCAAAATTCAACGAAAAAAACTGTCAGCTTAATATAAAATACCGTTACTTACTACTATAAAATTTATGAGGTGAAGCAAGGGAATACATTTTTCCGAATCCAAAAAAACCTGGTTTACCTTCAATTTCACCAAGATGATTCAAACCTCCCGAATTTATAATTGTGTCCCTGTCTCTGAGTTTTCGTGAGAAAAATTTACTAAAGACATCCCCCCCCCCCGACATCGAAACCTCTATGAATCAATAATTTCTGGAGGCCTTTGCGCAAACTTTCTCGGGACACGGAAAAAAGAACAATCACAATTCTCGTTCTTCAATTCATATAATTAAGGCAAATTAACCCTTGCCTCCAGTTCCAGCATCCTGTCAACTCATTTACAAAACAGTCTCAGGAAAATCACCAATTTCAACTCCCTGCAATTTTTCATTTCCCCCCTCCCCCCTACACCAAAAATGCCAACTCAAAAACTTCCCGACTCTACTTCGAATAGTTTCCAAAAAGTTTTGAACAAGCCCCTTGTACTGTACTTGCATCATTCCGCAGGTTGCCCCACGACGAACGGTGCATCAAAAAATACCGTTCGGATTTACAAGTCAAGTTGTTGTTGTTGTTTTTCTTTCTTCTCTCTGTCTCCATCATTTCAATATCCTCAAAATGAAAAAAAAAGTCGGGGGAAACGCGGGGCGGGAACGGGAATAAGTTGCCTTACCTGAAGGTTTTCACTCGGCGCGTGGGAAAAGCCGAGGTCGTGCCGGTGAAGCTTTTTGCTGTCCAAAAGACCGCCTCGCATCGAGTGGCACAGCTGGGTCTTGTACTCCTGCGTCACGGACACCACCATGTGGCACTTGGTGTGGCCCGACCGCGGTATTTGAATGTGAAACTGCGGGTTCACTGCCGTCGTCTGCTTGTAATCCGGACCGCCGCCCGCATTGTACCTATTTTTATTTTTTCAGAACACGCAAGGGGCGGTCAACTTCGCATTACACTTTTCTCTACCTGTTCTTCCCTTCCAACTCCTTCTTTAAAAATCGCGTGAGAAGTAACCCCGAAATTTATTACTACCGTACACATTTTTTATTCCCCGTGCAAATAGACATATCAGCATTGCCTCGCTGGCGGTATATTACGCGAAATTAGCTTAGCCACGCACAGTATCCTTCCACAATTGGTTCCCGCATAAAAAAAAAGAACCGCACAACGACGTCGCAACAAGAAACGTTTCACGAATTAAAAAAAAAGTGATGCATTTGAAATGAAGAAAAATAAAGCATGAATTGGTACAAGTTTTGAGGATTTTCTAGAGCGAGTGAAGAAAAGAAACGCTGCTTTTACGAGCCTCAAAGATCTGGAAATTTTAGAAACCTGAGAGCTCAAAAATTGGAAGAATTATACTGCGTTATTGAAATTTTTACTTGGAGTTTCATACCACAGAACAGGTGGACTCTCTCTACGTCGATATTCTCCGCAAAAAAAAACATTATTTTCGGTTCTCTCCCATGTTATAGGGGTTCTCCACATTTCTACAACAAAGTTTTCTCTACAAAGCAGTTTTTTCTGGTCATTTCGTTTGAGAGAGTCCACCTGCATAAGATTTCTGAAATACATATGCTTTAAAAATCCATCAAAGATTTTTTCAAGTGTCTGAAACGGACTGCATATTTTTAATAATAAAATCTTGCTTCGTGCAAATAAACGTATCACGGAACGGACCATTTTAGCTATGCGGGATCCACACATTATTTCGCAACTTTCGTCCACGAAGTACCCGCATATATTTTTCTTTTGCGAAACGGCACACAAACCCCAAATTTGAGCTAGTCTAGGCGTGTCTTATGCGAAATTGACCCACTAAGAATACAGTACAAAAAGAACAGAACAGTACTTGGAATTGCTAATCGAGGTAAAAAATAATTTTGAAACGAATATTCGCGTCAAACTTGCTTTCGAAACGTATCTGGATTTTTTCAACTCCCAAAGAATACAATATAAGAAATCCACGGAATGCTCGATTTCTTCTTAGCTTCAAAATTACACTGAAATGGAATATTGAATTCGTTTACGAGGGATAGATTCAAATGTCGAAAGCTGCGCGAAGATACAGTAGTAGGAATTTACAAGGGGGGAAAATGAGGTGCGCGTCATAGTCGGGTACACATTTCGTAGTATTTTTTCAAACTTCAAACTTTTTTTCCCCACTGCTAAAAATTTTTCAAGTTATTTTTTCAATGGTTAGTTTGTTTCGCATAAGAAAAAAAAATCGACATTGAAGTAAACTTTAAAGTGAGCTTGTATTTAGATTTTTACCCCATGTAGTTTTCAAAATAATGTACCAAATAAATTTTTGGGCTGAAAACTAAGATACAGTACGCGTCTTATGCGAGTACAGTATAGCATTTCCCCCAGAATTTAGGTTTAAGGAAAAACTTGAGATACGCGTCTTAATTGATGGCACGTGGTGCTCGAGTAAATACGGACGATAAAAAAACACAACATAAATTCTGCGATGCATTTCCCCCCTCCTCTCCTATGATAATTACAGTACAGTGATCGTGATTCCCTCCTCCCAAACCCATTTTCGAACGAGGAAAACTTTTTTATTTATTGAGTGGGCTAGGAGGTAGAGGCTGCTCGTTCGTGTCGAGCGGTTCCAGCGAACCTTACGTCTCGTCCGAGGTAGTAGGTCAGTAGGCCGGGTTGCACGTGGTCCAGGTTCACTCAGAGGTTGCTGCAAAAATCCTCGTAAGACATCCAAAACTCGCCGGGGTTCCGAACACGTTGCGACAAGAGCTGCTTGTCCCTCTCGGGCAGATTCTCCCATTCCCACGACTTTTTGCTCCAGGGCCCGACCCAATCCCCGCCACTACCGTATTTGCTACTGCTGCTCGCAGCCCCCCAGGGATTCCGCACCCGGACGAGCGGAATTTCTTGCCCGCCGGACGACCGGACACGAACACGTGCGAGACCGGTTACGAGGTAACCTTGTCCCGTTATCAGTCCGTTCCTCAGACGCACCTGCCATTTGCTTTCTTTGCCCTCCAGGAGATGCACCGAGGCAATGACGAGCGTAGAACGCGGCACTGCGGAGTTCAACACTTGGTACGTCACGAGCCAATCCTGGGCTTGCAAGGGGAAGCTTTGAACGACGCCTCCAGTAAGGTCTTGCAGGGCTTTCATGGTCGAACTCGACTCCAAATTTTCATATCCGCCATACAACCTAGAAGAAGACAGATATGAGAATCGATCATCATACTAAATGTAAGATCCACAAAAGGAATAATTTGAATATTCAATGATTTACAGGTAGACTCTCAACGCAAATTTTGACCAATGCAGAAACGATTTTTTGTTTGTGGTCTCATACGAGTTTCCATTCAAATTATAGAGGTTGTCGACAACGAAATTCTCTCCAAAACGAATTATTTCTCGTTCCTTGAACTTTTGCAACGAAATTCAATTCTCTCCAGAGTCTCCACAAAAAATTCTTTCTAGTTCCCTGAATTTGATTAAGAGAGTCCAGCAGTAGTAGAAAATATCTGCATCTATAAGTTAAAATATTTATTCCAATCCTCAATCTCACAGCTACATTTTTCATAACGTAATTAAATTAAAATATGACCTCAAAGCCGGTATTTTGTTCGGCTTGCGTGACGATGAAATTCAAACCGATCTTTTAATTAAAATTGAAAAGCACGAGGGATATTTTAAAAGGTTTTGCTCGTAGCTGTAAAAGAAGTTTTTCAGATACCCAAATTTTGAAGTCAAAATACTGCACCATAAACCAATACTGTATATGGGACGAATAGCCAGACTTTCCGCAAACCTCTGTTTATGTGTTAAGAAATGTCTTGACTTGAATCCTAGTTCTGATACAGCCATCACATTCAGCTTCATCAACACAGAATTTCTTCAATAACAAACGGTACTTATTTCTAGATACAGTACAGTATCGCAGTCAGATAAAAGACTTTGAGACCTAGATAATTTGCATATATGCGCGACCGCCTGAAAATTAAAAAAAAAAAGGAAGCTCGTGAGTACGAAGTACAATTTTTTCTCAAAGCTTTCGGAGGCACTTTCAATTTTCTAATAGAGAAAATGAGAGCAATGTACTGGTAAGAATTAATCGAATATTCTGTAAAAGTTGCATCCATCACCATTCATTAAAAAGATACAAACGAATAGTTTTGCTAACTTCTCAAGGATTTCACAGACTTTTTTGCTGTCGTTGCTTTCAAAGTACAGCTCGAAACGGACACCAAGGCAATAAATAATTGCAGAAAAAAAAATCATTCAATTTCAAGAGGGTCGTAATTTCGTATAACCATGAAACAAAACTATATTAAATTCCAACTCACTTCGCATATGCCTTCTCTAACAACGACGCCCAAAATTCACTCGGATCGGTGCACTTGACACCAACAAGACGTCCCTTGATTGTCGGCAGTCGGTCGTCCACAAGAACCTCAAGCCATTCTCCGAAATGCCAAAATCGAAATCGGAACATGCCACAGTAGGAATGTTCGTCAAAATACTGATCAGGTGGAACCACTCGTTCCAATAATCGGGGAGTCAATGCAAGAGCAGATAGCGCAGTGACCAGCCACCCGTTACCATGTTCTCCTTTGTCGACGCCAGCAATGCGACTTGGGCCAAATCCTAGACCCGATTCCGCACCTCCAGAACCTCCGTGTCGCCCCGCAGTGTTGCTTCCGTTGTTTACACTCATTTCAGTGAAAAACTTCGGTTGGGGAACCATTTCCTATAAAATAAATACTAATAGAATCGTCCGCATCACAGCGACGATACAGGCCGACTGCACAACACATCCTGATTTCATGAAAAGCTGTACTTTATCGGAAGAAATTTGTGGGGATTTCGAAAGCAGAGGATGGCCTACTATCATCTAACATGATGAAAAACCGAATTTCAGTCAGCCGACGAAAATTTCATGAATAAGTTCTCACACAGAAAGATTGTCTACCTAGGCATAACTGTAGGCAGATTTTCAGATGATCAACGCTTAATTTCCACAATTTCAAGCATCAAGATACGTATTATTCGCTGCATCTCCCGAATTCAAGTCACCAAGAATTTAAAAGTTGTCAGAAATACATTCTTCAAGTTAGTCTGGCCTACACACGAATTTATGAAGCATAGACCGCATCAGACTATTGAGCACACTTCTTGGCGAAAACAGTGCGACAAATGGTTGAGTATACTGCATTAATTCAGCAGAGAAAAATTTTCACATACCCCAGGACGTTTCCAAATCACGGATGCGTGCATACCGACTGGCCATTTGCTCTTCGTCGGACCTCGGTTATTCAGTGGAAAATCTGTATCTTCATACAGAATTCCAGATTCTAAGCACTGACGTCTACAAGCTTCAAAACTCAATGAAGAGGTTGACGCCCTGCTTCCCACTCGGCTATGAAGCGATCTCCGCTTCTGGTTATGACTACCGCTTATCTGTGCTTCCATTCTACTTCCTTTTCCTTCCAGAGTAAAATATCTACGTAGAAAAGGAACGTTATTGCATTGTAAACCTTAATAAATGAATCGTATTTCTCACCCATCGCTGTAACTCAGATCTAGCATATGGTCATGAGGCTGCACAGCTCGTCTTCCAGATTTCATTTTCCGTTAAAAAAAATATCGTTGCTCCACGTTTCAGTCAACTCCGAGCAGTTGAAAAAGTGGTCGTGACATAATTCAACACAAAAACTTTCGTTTCACATCAGGATCACATCTTCCGAAGCTTACTTTCTTGATACGATCGGACACATACACGAACCACGCCTAGCTCACATGGGCCCACTGGACGCAACAGAACGCCGAAGGGACTGTCCAGCACTGTCTGTTCAGTTGACTCCTCCCTACGAACTATCCGGCTCGACGAGGAATCCACCGGATAGGTTAGATCGGAATTGGTTCAATTAAGGATTTACAGGTACTACCTGTATCCTATACAGTATTTTAAATGCTAATTTAATTTTAAGGAAAACCACCGGAAAAACTAAGAGATGATATGCCTGAGTGGAAAAATGTCAATGAAATGCAATCTTATAAGAAAAATTAGGTAGCCCCATTGGGGTGGTGGAATTACGTCGTAATTTCCAAACTAGCTTATTGTCGTCCAGCCTCTACAGGAATAATATCCTGAACAAAATCTTCCCTTTCTGCATAACTGGCCTAACATCGTACTGCTAAAAAATCTTGAAAGTCGTCAAAAAAATAATCGTTTGGGAAAAAACAGATGAAACTCGTACAATGGTAAAGTAAAAATGTCGTTTTTTAAGAACTGGAACAACCTCGGATGCCTGAACTGGAGTATTGTCGTGGAGATAAAAATGGAATTATCTCGTCAAAAAAGCACCCGCTAAATTATTTGGGAAAACTTTTCAAATGCTCACACCGTTAGATGCTTCTTTGAAAGGGAATTGGTTGCTGGTCTGACTTCTGGCTGAGCCCATTTGACACACACGATGGGGGAGCGGGGTGGTGGAATTACGTCGTAATTTCCAAACTAGCTTATTGTCGTCCAGCCTCTACAGGAATAATATCGTGAACAAGATCTTCCCTTTCTGCATAACTGGCCTAACATCGTACTGCTAAAAAATCTTGAAAGTCGTAAAAAAAATAATTGTTTGGGAAAAAACAGATGAAACTCGTACAATGGTAAAGTAAAAATGTCGTTTTTTAAGAACTGGAACAACCTCGGATGCCTGAACTGGAGTATTGTCGTGGAGATAAAAATGGAATTATCTCGTCAAGTTTGGGAAAAAACAGATGAAACTCGTACAATGGTAAAGTAAAAATGTCGTTTTTTAAGAACTGGAACAACCTCGGATGCCTGAACTGGAGTATTGTCGTGGAGATAAAAACGGAATTATCTCGTCAAGATGAAAATGGAATTATCTCCTCAAGGTAAAGATGGAATTATCTCCTATGATCAGGACAAGAATTGCATGAAAACCAATACCTGATTTATGAAATAGAACTCCTGGGACAAGAATTGTATGAAAAATTTTCAGGATAAATAGTGCAGATATTTCCAATTTATCGTCAGTGTGTCTTGTGTTTTCGTGATGGTGGTATGCCAGTTTCTCATGTGCTCTACTGTGATCTGATTTTTTTATGATGTGTGTGTGTGCCATCGAGACTCTTTTGCCTGGGGGAATGGGGTAGACAAGCTAAGGAATAATGGTTGAAGTAAAACTTCGGAGAAGATAACAGAATAGACCTTAATTTTCTTTGAATTTGAATTTTAAAAAATAAAAAAAATTTCATAATAAATAGTGCAGATATTTCCGATTTATCCAGTCACACAGAACACAAAAGCACTACCACCATACGGTCAAAGAGTACACGAGATGACACTAGACTAAAAAAATACCACACACACACACGGTAGCTCTGAGAAAACGGACCCCCTTACCCCATCTGTAGCTAACGAATATATGGTTGAATAATGGTTGAAGTAAAACTTCGGAGAAGATAACAGAATAGACCTTAATTTTCTTTGAATTGGGATTATCCTTTAAAAAAAAATGTATCTGAAAAAAAAATTTCATTTAAAAATTGAATAATGAATCAAGGTAGTTGCAAAAGCAATTCATTTGAATGCATGAAACTGTACAAACCAATTAAAATTGAATTGGCTAAAATTTGCTGTTTCTTTTATTTTGTTTTTTATTTTTTGTGAAGCATTTTATTTTACATACTTATTTGGGCATAAAAAAACTTTTAATTTCTATTAGAAATACATTTTGGCCTCAATGAATCCTGTAGAATTTGCAGAAAAATAAAAGAATATTGGGAAAATAAGAAAAATGTTTGAAAGAAAAATTGGTTGCCAAACATTTTTAGAATGACATTGTGAAGAATGTTCCTTTAAAAAAAATGCTGCAATGGTTTTGAAACTAAGCCTTTAAAGCAGGCAGAGCCAAAGTTGTCATGCTTGTAGAACCAAACTGAGGAGGACTCTCACTTTTATTTAATAATTTATTTGTACAGCATATAAAAATAATAAATTTTAAAGTTCAGGAGGGACACTTTTAAATTTTTCTTGGCTCATTTTTTACACAGAAAAAAATTGAGAAGTTGGAGCCAGCTTCACTAGAAAAACTCTTCTTGGCTTTTGATGAATTTTATTAAATTGGATTACGTTACGGACGGAAGATTTAAGTTAAACCACATAATATACTATGACGTAATTATACATACTACGTCATAATATTATGACGGAATATCAGGGAGAGACGACCTCCATTAAAAAAATCTCAAATTAGCTAAATGGATGATAAATTGGTGAGAGAAAAGCCCAAAAGCTTTTCTTACACCAAGTATATGGTTCAAAATATATGTTTCTTGTAATTTGGCCTGAAATATATTTGCAAATTTTTCACAAAATGTCCCTATATGTTGAGTCAGGCGTGTCCTCATGTTGGGCCATTTTAATTAATTTTTTCTGGGAAAATAAGTGTCCCTGTGTCAAATTGTTCACAGGTTGAGGCGTCTGCATGTGGGGGTTGAATATTGAATTGAATATTGTTCAGATTTTGTTTTTGTTTTTGAAAAGTTATGGTTTTAGATTTACTAAAATTTTCAACTGAAAAACCCTCTAGTAAAAACAGTATAATATTGCAACAATGTTTCTGTTGTGGTACTGTAATACACTCAAACCTCTCTGAGTCAAATTTCAAAGGACCTGCTAAAAATTTGAATTAGGGAGTTTTTGACTTAGGGAGGTTTGAGTTATCAAGGTTCACCTGTGCTGCAGTATAATTTATCAAAATGATGAATGATTTGTTCTTTATTTGTCTGTTCAGAACATGGAACCAATAATTACAGCTGGTGCAAGGAAGAACTCAACTTATTATTGGATTGATGGCCATGCTTTTGTGAAAGAAAAAGTCTATGCAGAACATGGTTACATTGCTATGTGCTGTCGGTATAAGCAATCAACAATTGGTTGCCCAGGTCGAGGCAAATTGATAATTGCAACAAATCTGTTACACATCACAGCAACTCATGTTTGTGAAAGCAATTCTACTGATAACAAGCTTGTAGAGGTACATTCATTTTTTAGGATTGTTTGATTGAAGCACTGATAACTTATTTTTGTCTGATTTTTAGTTCAAGTCAAATTTGAAACATCGAGCAGAGAATTCATCTGGAAACTTGCGAGAAATGTTCCGTGATGAACTTTCATCAATGCCTGAGCTGGAAGGCCTTATTGGTTTCCATGAAATTGAATCTACTCTACACAAACGCCGTCGCCTAAATCAGCCACGGAATCCACGCACACCTGCAGAAGCTATGGCCATGCTCCAAGCACCAAACAAATTCTCCCACATCTACAGAGGATCAGTGGAGAACGGTGGAGGAGTTGCTGTGGTTTTTGGGTCACAAAGTCATTTAAACACAATTCTTGAAAATATTGCATTGGATCCAACAATCTGCACCACCATCTTTGTAGATGCCACATTTGGCATTGTTCCAAAGATGAAAGAGCAGAAATTCTATGAGCTTCTATTTGTGCAGGTAAAACTTGATCAATAATACTGCAACTGTCCAGATTTTGACTGTATCTTTTCAATTAAGGTTCAATATCGCAACATTGCGGTTCCTTTGTTTGGTGCACTTATGACCGGTAAGACTGAGGAGTTATACACTGAAGTCTTGAAGTTTATTGCTGCACAATGGCCAGAGTTCCAGCCAGCTGAAATCATGGTGGATTTCGAAAAGGCCCTACATAATGCCACTAAAGCAGCATGGCCACTGGCAGGAGTTCATGGGTGTCGGTTTCATTTTGCTCAAGCATGCCTAAAATACATTCAAACCAAGCAGCTGGCAAAGGAGTATATCAGCAATCCCCAAGTGAAGAAATGGCTGAAAAGCACAATGGGGTTGTGTCTTCTACCTGCTGATGCAATAGTCCCTGTCTGGATGGATCACTGCCAAAAATTGTCACAGTTCCATGGAAGTGCAGCTTTGACCCAGAAACTGAATGGGTTCAAGAATTATATGAACAATTTCTGGATCCGCCGTGTTACACCTAAAGTATTTTCAGTGTTTGGATTGAACCACAAGACAAATAACTATGCGGAATCTCTCCATGCCCGATTGAATCGTGACTTCAAGTCCAAGCATCCTGGATTTTGGCGATTCATGGAATTGTATGAGCAGCTGGTGATAAATGAAGTCACTGCAGATTTGGCTGTTATTCATCAAGGACGCCTACCTAGAAGAATTCGTCCAGCTGACTTACAGAAAGTCAGGTACAGTTACTAATTTATGAAAATTTGATGACAATATTGTAAACTATTTTTTGTTATTCCAGTATCAGAAAATATGAGGAGCAGTTGGTCAATGGTATCTTATCACCGCTACAGTACTTTGAGAAAACTAACAGATTTTTCAAAGGATTAAAGGCCAAGAAAGTGCTGATCAAGAATGGAAATGCTCCTGTTTCTGCTGGTGAAGAAGGCAATGACTCTAGCGAGGAATCTGCATATGATGAAACCTGGCAACTAGAAGCTGTTTTTGAACCAGATCAGCCAGAAGGGGCCCAAGGAATGATACAGGCTGCAGTATCTCAGACACATAATAATGATGAGCTCATCTGCGTAATCTGCATGGAGCGTTACCGGGATTGCTTTTTATGGCCTTGTCGACATTGGGTAACTTGTTACATTTGCGCACAACAGCTGGATGGATATGGCAATCTCACTTGTCCAGTCTGCCGAGAAGCCATTACAGAAATATGGCAACCAGCAAATGCAATCAATCGTACCTAGAGCAGTTTCCCATCTTTCCTCTTCTGCTGATTTATTTCCCTCCAGGTCATTGTTGACATACTTGTTGTTTATTTTTGTCTGTTTTTGTTCATTTTCTATTGACAATATTATTTGTACAAAAAATGACAACAATGAAGGCAGAAACAGCTTGCCTGATTCTCATGATATCACTTTTTGCATTGACTTTTTTATATTTGCTTTTTGGAGCAGCTCTGTGTACTGTATCACATTGTTTTTATGGTACATGGCTTTTTTATGAATTTTGCATGTGTTGTATGAATGAACACTTTCTGTTATCATCACATATACTTTCTTTTCTTCATTTTCTTTTGACGTGTATGTGACATGTAGAAATTGTGCATGCCTAGAAGAACCTACACATATAGTCACAGCCAATCACCATAAAACATAATACATATCAAATTTGAAAATTAACCCAGCTAAATAATCAGCTGTTTTCCAGCCAGGTGTAAAATCACATGCATACATCACCCAATAATCAACCAATAAAATTTGTGGACAATAAAGTTTGTGCATGGTGCAAGTTAGCAGCGTGCACTTGAAAGGATCACAGTACTGTACCAGTGGAGCATGCTGTATTTTTAAAATCAGAAGCACATTGCTGTACAACCTAACAAATAATTTGGGCATTTTGCATTTTAAATGCGTTTGGAATAATACCGCAGCAAATTGCAGTGATAATACATTGTGGGGTTCTCTACCGCCAGTATAATACTGGTGCCAATATAATACCTACCACCAATATTATACAGGTGGTAGAGTTCCCCGCAGTACGCAGTGGTACCCGGGGTTCTCTACCCTACTGCTGGTATTATACTGGCAGTAGTGTAGAGTTCCCTGCAATACGCAGCAGTACGCAGGTTTCTCTACCCTACCATGGGTATTATACTGGCAGTAGAGAACCCTGTGTACCTCTGCGTACTGCGGGGTTCCCTACTGCCAGTATAATGCTGGCAGTACACAACCCTACAAACAATATTATACTGGTGGTAGAGTTCCCCGCAGTACGCAGTGGTACCCGGGGTTCTCTACCCTACTGCTGGTATTATACTGGCAGTAGTGTAGAGTTCCCCGCAATACACAGCAGTACACAGGGTTCTCTACCCTACCATGGGTATTATACTGGCAGTAGAGAACCCCGCGTACCTCTGCGTATGCAGCGGTATGCGGGGTTCTCTACCGCAGGTATATAACTGGCGGTAGGGTAGATAATACTGGCAGTACACAACCCTACCACCAATATTATACTGGTGGTAGAGTTCCCCGCAGTACGCAGTGGTACCCGGGGTTCTCTACCCTACTGCTGGTATTATACTGGCAGTAGTGTACAGTTCCCCGCAATACGCAGCAGTACGCAGGTTTCTCTACCCTACCGCGGGTATTACGCTGGCAGTAGAGAACCCTGTGTACCTCTGCGTACCACGGGGTTCCCTACCGCCAGTATAATACTGGCAGTACACAACCCTACCACCAATATTATAATGGTGGTAGAGTTCCCCGCAGTACGCAGTGGTACCCGGGGTTCTCTACCCTACTGCTGGTATTATACTGGCAGTAGTGTAGAGTTCCCTGCAATACGCAGCAGTACGCAGGTTTCTCTACCCTACCATGGGTATTATACTGGCAGAAGGGTTTGTGCATCTTCCTGATCGTGAATAAGCGTGATGAATCCTGTTTTGATCTTCTTAGGTTCGGTGGGGGATATGAGTGTGATCCCCGGTTGTTTACTCTCGTCTCGATGAGTTTTTCATATGTCAGCAGTATGCTGATTTCTAATCCTGGTGATGATATGGACGATGATGACCACGACGACGTGGAGGACGTTCTGCGTCAAGATGCGATTGAGAAGAATAAAGAATTGGGTGAAATGATGCAAGGAGCTTTTGATCATCTGTCAGAAGATTCTTATCAAGATTCGGAAAATGACGGAGCCTCGGAATCTGAAGATGAGGTGCATCTCCAGCGTATACCAAACCGCTTGGTGTCTGAAGGAGCTCCTCGAAACGACAGACTTCGAATAGCAACGTACAAGCACAATGAAAATTTGGAAAACGTTCAACCCACTTTACGTAAACCAGACCCTATCGTTAGAACGAAGCCTTTGCAACAATCTGATTTTGGTGCCCAGAATCGTGTTCCCGAACTTCAAATTTTGTTGGATGCTAAGGTTCGAGAACTAGAACGGCTACAACAAAATTTTCAGAATCAAGCTCAATCTCATTCGCTTGAAATACGCTCAGTGCGTCAGCAGCTCGAGTTCCTCAAAACCGAGAAAGCAAATCTAGACGCAATTATTGAAGGAAACCAAGCAATATTTCAAGAGAAAACGAAAGAAAACACTAATCTTCGGTCACTTCTTGAATCTGTCAAGGCAGAGAAGGATCGAGTGGAAAATCTGAATCGTGAGCTTACGTTGGAATTGACAACCCACAAAGCACGCGTCGAAACGCTGGAAGAAGAAATCAGCGAGCTAAAACGTTGTGATACTGCAAAACGTCTCATTCAAAATGCGGAAAGGAAACTTGAAACCTTGCAAGAAGTTCATCGTCGTGAACTTTCGGAATGCAATGATAAACTTCTCGCTGAGCGACAAAAAACTACCAAATTAACACAGGAGGTTAGTATTTTCTGAAATATCTTCGACACATTCGGAAGTATTCTTTTCTGCCCAAAATCTTCACGGCAATAATTTCTGAAGTTTTGACGGAAGGCAATCACCCAAAGCGTAAAGCGCACAGCAATGTTCAATTGTTTTCTGGCATCAAGTTTTCGTCTTTCGTAGCTCTTGATTTTTAGAATTGTTAAGAAAAAGGAAGGAATCTTTTATTCACGAGGAAGTGTGTTTATTCTGTGAATTGAATGAAGATGTATTTAGCTGGGTGCAATGTGTGGTGAATGCTCAAGTGTTGAAATTTGTACGCGTTGTTTTTGTAATGCGTAATTTTGAATTGGTAGCTTTTTTACTGGGGTCTTTTTTTAACGTATGTATTTGTTGCTCAATCTTATGCAAACACAAAAAGCATCCTTGTGTGATGCGGATGTTTGAAAGTCCACAATCATGCTATGCAGAAAACTGGAAGAGACGTTTCGAAAATGTCGGAAAGTGCTTTGAAATATTTAGTTATTGTATCAAAATTTTTTTTCACTGTGTGCTAGGTATTTTTCTCGTGTCAGCAGCCTGAAGTTTATCTTCAAGAATGTTTGTTTAAATTCTTATTTCTTAATTTGCTCAGCTGGAACGATCGAAGAGGACCTTGAATCAACAAGAGAGAGAATGGGAATCACAATTGGCTGATAAAACGGCGACTGTCAATCGTTTAACTCGCCTGATCAAAGATGCTCAAAACCAATGTGCAGAAATGGTCCTCGAGTCTCCCAGGAATGCCGTTGAAAACTCCGACGTTTCTATTCTGCGTTGTCAAGCCTTGGAGACAGACGTGAAGCGATTGCAGCAAAGAAATCGAAGCTTGAAGCATGATTTGGACGTCGCACGTCGACAACTCGAAAATAAACGATACCAAGCTGATGCCACTTATCGCGGTTTGTTGGAAAAAGATGCATGGGAAGACGAAAAGATCCACCTTGAAGATCAGATCCAGAATATGCGCAACGAGATGGATATCGAGCGTGAGCGATCCTCTCGTGAAAAGCGGAATATGTTAATGAAACATAAATTTCAGATGTCAACTTTGAACAGAAAACTCAAGGCCATAGTTGAACGTGTGCGGCGGATGTGTGCATCCAAAAATGCACTCGATTGCGCCGTTATTGAATTGAAAGTGGCTTTTGCAAGGACCCATTCATCGAAAGCTATCGATGAAGTCGTCAAAGAAGTCGAGATGGAATGGAAAACAAAGTGGGAGACCGCGCAGAAAGAGCGCGACGTCATCTGGATTGGTAAATTGAAAGACGCTGTTGATTCAGTGAAAACAAGACGAGAATCTGAAATTATGAAACTTCAAGACGAATTGAAAAATCGAACTGCCGAAATCTTGAAGCTCAGGAAAGAGCTTCAAGACCGGGATTCGAAAGCTAAAAAAACTTCGGAGGAATTGGCGAAACTCCAAGCAGAACTCGAAGCTCGTAAAGGAGAAGTAGCGAAGGCATCTGAAGAATTTCAAAAGCTTGAAAAAGAATTTCTCGCTTCATGCCAGCGTCCTCTGTCTCCAGTGCCTAATCATACAATGGTCTCGTCCATGCCTTCAAATGATGTTGAACAAGATTTGCATGAAATGTTAATTGCAAAAGATGACGAACTGACCACGGTTACGCGGAAGCTGCAAGGGGCCGAAGCGTTGTTCCGTGACACCATTCATAAATGGCTGACCGAAATTGAAATTTTGAAAACGGTGAGTAGGAGCATTTTTTAAAAGCCAACATTAATCTGACATTCTTTAATTTTATTCGGTGTTGAAATGCTTTTCTTGTCTTCCTTCAACGTATTCATTTTCAAAAGTCTATTGAACTTAAAGATGCGCCGTGTCACATGAATTGCAGTTAATTTTCTAATGAATTCGAGAGGGATTTCGTGAATTTTTTTCGTTATTCATGAGTTTCACCTCTCATAGAGCTTAGTGGTAAAATATTTTTGCGTAATCAGTCATCGCTTATGCTATTCAATATTTTTGTCTAGATCAAGCAGCGGGAAGCGGAGTTGAACGTTGCCAGAGTCAACCGTTATAAATCTGCGAACAAGGCATTGAAGGAAAAGTTGAAAACGTACAAAAATCTCCTCAGGGAACGGCAATTGATCGACCAGAAGAAGAAAGAAGTTGACGGTTTAGCTGCTGTGAACAACCTTCCAGAATGTGACTCTCTTAGAGAAGCATTGAAACTCAAATTTGTTGATTTCCTTGACAAACTGAATTGAAGTTGCATATTTTCTCATGTTTCTACTTCGTAATAGACTTGAATTTGGACAAGATCAACTGTGTAATTTATGTAGATGCTTTGTCGTCTTCGTTGTTCGTATTTTAACGCAATGACATTGCATAATTAGTGTATCGATTACATTTGATGTTTTAGGCATGCAAATTCACGATGGTGTTCGAATCAGTTGTGACGGATTTGTTAAACCGGTTCCTTGGAGCTTATGTAGAGAACTTGGATAGATCGCAGTTGAAGTTGGGCATTTGGGGCGGCGATGTTGTTCTACGCAACTTGCGGCTCAAGAAAAATGCTCTGGACTCCATGGATCTGCCCGTCAGAGTCTCTCATGGCTTCCTAGGTATTGTGGCATTAGTCCCGATTTATAAAAAAGTTTTTTTGGATTGAAAATATCTTTGGTTATGTCAGAAAGAGGGAGCTGCATTCATTCTTCCGATAGTTCGTCAAGAAAAAAGTAAAGAAAATTTATTTATTTTTCTGCCTCAATAAGTTATCGACTCGAGATAACTGAGAATTTTTATACAGTATTTTTGGCCCCCTTCTTTCCGTACGCGTGATACGATTTTTTTCGGTGCAATCCTTTTCCTTTTTCTGGTAAAACAATATAAGAATTGTGGGTACATTCGAACGATTGAAAAGCTAAAAAGAATAAAATGCTGTGAATCAGTTCATTTAATCGAGGAAACAAGTCTCCTGTATGTGAAGTGAATGACTTACGCGAAGATGTCCATTTTTTTATTCTGTAAAATGTGAAGTATATCTGTATTTTTAAAATCAAACTCACTTCACGCGTTGTCTGAAAATTGTTTTGCAACTCAAGGTATTTTCTGGTCGCGGGTTATTCAATAACATATTTAATGGTGCCGCACTTTTAATCCTAGTTAATCCTAGAATTTTAATCCTAGTTTTTCTGGGTATTTCACCTTCATCACCCTGATAACCCGTTTATTTTATTATTGTTTTAAAGTTTTTTTTATTTAAGAATTTTGAAAATTTTGCTGTTATTTTCATGAATACTCGATGACATTTTTCATTGTTTTTGTTGTTTGAGGAAGTCAATGTACATGGTTGAGGAATGCTCAGGCTTGTAAATGATTCCCTTGGACTGTCTTCTATGTTCCGTCATTAAACGCATAATTCTGAAGGCTGAGATTATTCTCGGCCGTGATTATCTTAGAGTAAAACTGAACAATGCTTTTGAAACGTATCTTCTAGAAAAAATGGAGTTGAAGATCCCATGGACTAATTTGTACAAGGCCCCTGTGATCGCCGTGATTGATGGAGTGTTCCTCATCGCGGTACCCAAGTCGACAGTCGAGTACGATGCGGCCAAGGAAGAGAAAATGGCGTGGGAAGTTAAGCAGAATCGTATCCAGCGCGGGGAAGAGATACACGAGCTCAAGTCCCTGGCTGCCGGGGAAGGAGCTGACGAGAAAGACGCCACTTTCGTGGAGAAGCTGAGCTTCCAGATTATCAAGAACATTCAAATTCGCGTGGGATCGGTGCATATAAGGTACGAAGACACCGTTTCGAACCCGTCCCGTCCCTTTAACTTGGGAGTCACGATGAGCAGCCTTGTGCTGGAGTCGACCGATGATTCTTGGAAACCGGGTACGATCCCGAAAGAAGACGCCAAGCTGGTTTACAAGGTTCGAATCGAGCCAGTTTATCTTCTCAAACTTCGCTTGAATGCTTCGCAGTCTCCTAACTTGGCTTATTACTCAAGCTTTTCTTCGTTACATTTTTTAATGTATTTTTTTTCGAAAAGTAATGGAATACATATAAATTTTTTTACGCATCGGGATTCTATTTTTTTAAATTATGGAAGGGGAATTTCACGATCTCTGAAAGCATGCTGATTGTCAATCAGACGCGAAAACTTGCAAGACTTTTGAGAAACTCCTTGTCTGTTGTGACGTCAGTAAAGTACCTAATGATTGTTCAACACATGAGTCGACATTCGGTTGTAATTGTTTCCCTCTTCGTTATTTCTCGGGTTTGCCTTTGAAACTTCGCTTAAATGCCTCACGGTCTCTTAACTTGGCTTTTTTTGTGAAGCTTTTCTTCCTTAAAAAATATAATTTTTTTAATTTGGTTTTTTATGTAATATTTTTTTAAGTGTAATTAAAAAAAATGCACGATAAGAAAAAGTTATTTAACAATTTAATTTTTGAAATCATTTTGATTTTATTCATAAAACTTATGGAAGGGAAATTGCACGATTTATGATAGCATGCTGATAGTCGATCGTGCGCAAAAATTTGCAAGACTTTTGAGAAACTCCTTGTCAGTTGAGTAGTTAGTAACATTCGGAAGGATTGTAATTTTCAACCTTTGAGCCGAAATTCGCTCGTTAAAAAAAAAGAAAGAACCGATAGAGAGCCGGAAGCCTAGACCCGCTTTTAACGCCACTAAAGCGAACCTTTTAAACATCAAAAAAGAGAACCCGACACTCCGCATCGACTTCGTTTTACAGTAGACCAAACGGTTGATAATTTTTCGACAGTTGGCAACGTTGAATTCTTTCAATGTTTATTGGACCCACGAACACATGGATCTCTCGGCAATGTCGCCGAACGATGCGATGCTTATTGACTTCCTCAACCACTGGTCTCTCTTCGTGCACGGTAAGGGCGTATCGTGTCCATCTAAAAGAAGAGCAAAGACTGGTTTAAAATGAATAATAGCTTGGTGCCAGTGCTAAATGAAACTCGGTCAACCATTAGCCTCTGAATGAACAATTTCTACTTCGTGACAAAATCGGCATGCACATAAAAAAAATAAATAAATTTCATTCGCATGTTGTGCAATTTTCGTTGAAGCAATTGTGCATACCGTATTTAGATTTGAAATCCCCTTATTTGGATTCTGTTCTTCTGTCGCGTCAGTGTTTTTCTGGTAAATGAAATTTTTCAAAAAAGAAGAACAAAATTGACGTTAGACATGAATGAAGCCGGATTCAATTAATTTTCAATGTTTTCTATTGAAATAGGTTTTTTTTAAAACTTGGTCCAATATTTCCTGTCACAATCAAGTATAATACTCACCTAAATTTCTTGAACTTGTTGAAAAATGTATTCCCATCTATGACGCGCACCCCCTTCTTTCCTCTAATTTATTTAAAAAAATGTCTGCGGAATTCATAATTTGACTGCAATTTGAAGATTTCTTCATTTGAGCATGCATATCAAAGAGCTCACGTAATTGCATTTCTTAGAAATCAGCGGAAGATAATCCCTTTGAAAAGCGGTAAGTTCTCGTGTGACTCGTTTCTTTGTAAGGCGATACTTCGATATTTGTTACCTCGATCAATCAAGGATGGGTTCGTGTTTCACACATTTAGTGATGGGACCGATAACGTCTGAAGCGAAGTTGAGACTCAACCCGAAACCTGAACAAGTTGACAACTATGCGTTACCCAAGATATTCCTCGACTTGGTGATTTCGTCGCTTGACATTGTATTTTTGCGGCGCCAGTACCAAGATTTTATGTTCTTGTCCGAGAACATCGGTCGGATGAGACGCGCAGAGCCGTACAGGAAATATCGACCCAATGTGAAGACATACCGGGGACATTACAAGAAATGGTGGGTTTTTAGAAGTTGTGCAAGGGCTGTCATGAAAGGTTAACCTATAACTCCGAATGCTTCGACTGGGACTGGTATTTACGATGAAAAAAGGATAACTCGCATTACCTCAGTAATCTGCTTAGTTTTGATGCTATTCGATGCCCGGTACTCTTGAAGCATGTTTGATCAACGTTTCTTCGTATACATCCCAAAATTTTACGTACACGGTACTGTATACAGTATCCATTTCTGGTACATTATTATTTGATATTAATGATTTATACTGTGTGTAAATTCAAAGATCATGCTGACGCATTTCTTTGTAAATTAAAAGAAATTTTGAAATGTTAATTATGTAATCTCACCCATATGGAGCGCCATTGCAACTTTTTCGTCCTCTCAATTTCATCCTAAGAAGGATTTAATTTTTACCTCAATAAAAACGTATCCGTCTTGAAAAGTTCAAAATCGAAAAACTTATGAACCAGCACACAAAGTTTCTGTGGGAATGTTCCGAAGATGTTCAATTATTATACTTTCCCGTAGAAGCTAGTTTCATGTTTTACCGTTGAGTATTTACAAAACCTCACGTGTAGATTTTTTTTTTACAGGTGGCATTTTGCGTACACGTGCATTTTGGAAACAGAAGTGCGAAGGAGGCGTAATAACTTCTCTTGGGCACGTATACAAAAGCACGGTGAATGGTGCCGTCAATATCAAAAGCTTTACGAAGGGAGGATTAAAGATCTTGCTTTGAAACGTGAGCCCGGCGCAAAAATGAAAGCCGATCTTGAGGCTTTGGAAAAGAAGCTTGACGTGTTCAACATCCTGAGGCTGAGGCGACAAGCTGAATTGAACGTAATAATCCGTCATCGAAAGGTATGATCCGGGGATGCTTTTTTAAATTTGAACTTTCGTTTCTTGCAGGTGAAAAAAGATGCCGAAACCAGACCTAAACGAACTGGCTGGTTAGGTGGATGGTTTGGATCGGGAAATCAAGAAGTTGAAGGAGATTTTGGTGAGATTCGATCCTTTAAAATGCCTCATGAAAATTTACGAATTTTTTTTAAAGCTCTTGAGCAGAATGATATCTTTTTTTCTTTATTTTGTTCGTTAGCAAAAAAACTTCAGCAAGAAATGTCGCCCGCGGAAAAAGCCAAACTGTACGAAGCCATTGGATACGGCGAAGATGAAGTTATTCTTCCGTCCGCGTATCCCTCTGATTATGTTGCACACCTTTTCAAGTTTTCGTTGACGAACCTGGGTGTGTATGTCCGACGCCGAGTTCGATCACATGGCGATTCTTCCGCTGATCAATTCGAGAATGTGTTGCACGGAGCGCTGCAAGAAGTTGAGCTGTTGTTCAAGCAGATTCCTGCTGTACAACTCTCTAGGTAAGAATCAACAGTACCACGAAAGTACAGTCAAACCTCGATAAGCCGCCAACATTTGTTTGTAAGGTTTGTAATGATTCAATGGGGTTGGTGGTTTATCGGGAAAATTTAAAATAGCATGAAGATCAAGTAGAATAAGAAATAAAATCTGAATTGTAGAAAGCAATCAAAATACACCTTGGGGTTTGTAAATTATATCTAGCTAATGTCCACAAGAAGTGAACTATGTTGACTGTGTGATTGTGTATTTTATTATTTATTTTATTTTTTAAATTTTAAACATCTCACAGAAACTTGAATCTTGTTGGCGGGCTATCGGAGACAAAAATTAAGCGGCGAAGCATATTTGAGTTGGGAATAATTTTAGTGGATGGCGTTTCAACTCGGTTTCCAATGCTATTGTCAACAGGAAAGATTTGTTTTTCAAAGTAAATTGGCAGTTGCCGAGGGTAGCGGCATTTTCTGGGGCGTCTTGAAAGGGTTTGACGGTATAATGAGTCGTTCAGAAGCTGTCTTACAACGTTGCAGTAAACGATGTTTTTGAGTCAGAATCCACCAATCTACTTGAGGATTTATATCAATATTTCGAGAAAGCCAATGTTCATTTGCTCGGAACGATTTTCCGTTGTATTCCTGAGTTATGGCGAACTTATGTTTAATCAAATAACAGCTCATGAAAAACTTTTCTTCAGCATCATCCATCATCCATGCAAAATGTTCAAAGATTGATGCAACTTGTCTTGTGATTTTTTTCGGAACTGGGAGATTTTTTTCGTCTGGGAATTTAATTTCTTTAAAATTTATTTTGTGTATTGGGTCAGCAAAATCAAAAATCAAATTTCGCGGATGAGAGATAAATCAATAGTGTCAATAGTTCTGCGGACAAGAATATTTTCATGGTTCAGCTCGCTTTCATAGTTGTTAAATTTTTTTACTGTTCGAATTGAACGCAAATTTCTCACTTCACGCCATAGAATTATGAAGTTCGCCTTGAGAAGAATCCTTAAATTCACGTGGGACACGTGTTAACATATGTGTAATTTTGCCTTAGGTTTTAAATTAGAGTATTCGCTCATATTTATTTAATTTTTTGAAGTGTCGAATCTTTGATTGGTGGCATGAGTCTCACGGGTGTGCCGGAAAAGATCGGTTCGAGCGAAGGAGTCAATCTGTTGCGCTCGATGCACCCGCGGAAAAACCTATCCGACGCGATGAAGCATTTGGACGAGGGAAAAGACGCTCGGGAACTAATTGACGGCGACGACGAGAAAGGCGTCTTGATGTGGTGCACGGCTGAGGTGAACCCCCGCGAAGGCGTCGACTACGGGTTTTACTTGGGTAGCCGGCCTATTGAGATATACTACGATGGCCCGACTGCAGCTGCCGTCATGGACGTTTTCAAGATGCCTGAAGAATCTGTTCTCACCCAGTTAGTTACATTAAAAAATACACTGTATACTGTTTTGGCATATTTGAGTTTTCAAGAGCGTTTCATCGAGGCCTCCCTTAATGAGTCTAAAATTTCATATTCCATCTCCCTGACGCACTACAGGTGGACTTTCTGTGCAACGAAATTCAAGGGACCAAAAAAAAAAAAATCGTCGTAGCGAGAATTTCGTTGTAGAGAATCCCTATAACATGGGTAGGGAACCTTATGGGACCACAGGAAAATTTTATTTACAGAGGAAATCGTTGTAGAGAGAGTCTCCCTGCATACTGTAATGAAAGTACAATATTTTTGCGTTACGCAACGAAGGAATTTCGAAAAATTATTCCTCAAATGCCGTCAATAATTGTGATCGTCTAGGATTTTGGAATCGTGTATTCGCACCGAAACAAGAGTAAAAGAAAGTCACTTGGAAATTGTTATCCGATTATGACGCGTGCACCTCATTTTTGCCCCAGTTTCTTGGAAAAAGTATGCGTGGTTCGCATTAATACAGTAAATATAAGGTTGCAGTTTAGGACAGCTTCTTACTATGAATAACGCATTGATGAATTAAATAAATAATAATAAAATATTAAATAAATGAAATATGCTCAATTTTTAAAACTTGCTTGAAGGTTGGAACTCACCGCTTACGAGAAAATGGAAGATATCCGTACGATGTCCGCGTTAGGGCTTCAATATGCCATGGAAACGTCGAAAATTGTGGATTTCGACGTGAAATTTCGCGGACCATTCCTGATTGTTCCGGATGGAGGACGATTCACGACGAAGTAAAAGAAAAAATATATAATTCAAGACTTCGACTTTCGTCAGAAATTATGAGGAAATTTATGTTCCAGTGCCAAGTTGCTGGTTGTGGGCTTGGGAGATTTGATCATGAAATCCCAGACGGATGTGAATCGGAAACGTAAGAATACGTTGGAGAAAGTTATTCGTCGTTCTACGACGAAAGGAAGCATTTCTGAGGATATTTTGTCCGAGATGAGATCACAGAGTTATCATCAGTACCAGTTGGAGTTGAAGCACATGCAGGTGAAGATTAAGAACATAATCTTTAATTACTGAGTATTCTTCCTCCTGTTACAATTTTATACTGTACGATTTTTCGACTATTTTTCCAAGGTGCTTGTTGTAGATCCGAGCGTCGATTGGAGACAAGAAATAAGGCAGAAAGAAACACCATTTCACGTTATGGCGCCGATGTCATTTTCTGTGAATGTAGGCCATTGCGTTTTGGACAACGATCCCGCTTTACCAAAATTGGCCGTTGTTGGCGGCATTACGGAAATCAAGGTAGAGTTTTTTCCCCCTTTAGAGAATAATTTCAACACTTTCGTAAAGTACTGGCGCAATTTCAGATTGATCTGGAAGAGACGCAATTCTATGATCTTCTCAATATAAGCTATTCTGCGGGAGCAAGTTATCCGGCCCCAGAACGAGACGAGGAATTACGAGCACAGGTGCAATCCATTTGGACAGAAAGTTCGTGTTCTGGGATCAGGATTTCAAGATTTTTTCTTTTTCTATGCAGAAAAAGCTGATGTTGACCCAGTATGCGAAAAATCGGAAGCGCGATGAGTTGTCCGAACTTTCAAGCATTCCTGAAGGTAGAGAAGTGTCTATTGACGAAGAAAGAAAGAAACTTGCCGGAGCGCAATTGGAGAAGAAAGCAGCGCGAACTCAGCTCACTCAGCTGGACTTGAAATTTGAAATCAAGGGTAAGTTTTTGAATTAGAAGGACTGTCGATATGATGTAATTTACTATCGGGATTCATATTGTTTTATAAGAAAAAATTGCGTTGCTTGTTTAAACCAAATTTGTTTGTTGCTGTTGATTGAAGATGTTATTTAGAATATGAGAAGCTAACTGTAACCTTGAGCAATGTTAGCAGAAAAAAAAATGTAAGCTTGCGCAGAATTTACCTAATTATTTTACTGCACTGTATTCCTTGAATGGGCGACTTTTTTTTAGTGTGAGTAGATGTCACTGGCAGTCGCAATAGCAGTTTGGTTTTTTTCCGAGTTATCCCGATTGTGACACCTTCTTTTTCTTGGTTCTGCAGGAGAATGAAAAGCTGGGAATTCTTCTAAAATTTCGTAATGACCGACTTTTTGTTCGTGCTCAAAGCAATTAGTTTAAAACCTACTTGGCATGCATTAATATCGACAGATTTTCAGCATTTTTTCCTACGTTTTACTAAAGATAGAAAAACACAAAAAGTCAAATTTTTCGCTTCACATTGACTTCTTGGCACTCCATCGAGGGATATTCTTTTCTTATTCAAATTTTTTTTCAGAAACAAAACTGATGATCAGAGCGAAAGTACCGTTAACAGAAAAGCTCTATGGCATACCGTTGCTTCACTTCGGCATCGTGAGTTTACAGGCAGACTTGTTGCTCAAAACGAAGGACATTGAAGCAGGATTGTCTGTGGGTGGGGTTGAAGTGAACACGATTGCCGAGCAAAAGTACCAATTCGAAGAATCCGAAAAAACCGGTCGCACGAAAGCAGAAGCTATTTTGCCATTGATTCGAACGGCGATGATTGCCGGAGACGCCGAATATCTCGTCAACGTGCGATATTCTCAGGTTCGTGCGCTTTTTGGATTGAAACAAATGCTTAGAAATGTATTTCCGTGTTTACACGAACCTTTTTGAACCCGGCTGCATTTTTAGCAGCCTCCAATATAAACCCTATCCAAAAACTAATCAGTAACCTCGATCATAGCACTGAAGCGTGTAAGGAATCTGTGTAGTTTACTAATACTCTACGGTATAAGCATAAAGAAAGATCGGTACATAAACCACATTCAGAACATAAATAAATTCCAAACATAAAACAAATAGGGTTGTGTAATTAATTATGAAAATCATTCATCTAAATATTTGTTCTGAGATTATTTGATTCCGGTTGTTATACCTTCATAATAATTATAAATAGAGTAGTGTAATTAATTATGAAATTCATTCTTGTGATTCTTCTGTATATTCGTTCTGAGATCATTTGGACGCGCTCTGGAGTTTTTCAATTGAACATTTTGATGAAATCTTATCCCCCAGTAAAAAAAAAAGGGGTACGCGTCGTACCCCATTTTTTTAGTGAATCTATAACCACATAAATTCAAAGCAAAGAATACCCGAATTTGAGTCTAGAGATGAATTAAACATGCATTAGACCATTTTTTAATTGTTTTAAATCAAGAACGTTTTTCTATCAAACTTTATCCAAAATTTCCCATCAGAATCAAGTATAATACATACCTAAATTTCTAAAACTTTTCGAAAAATGTGTACCCGCTTCTGACGTGCACCCCTCTTTTTCCCTCTCAAATTGGAGGCAAAAAAGCCTGCATGGTAACCAAGTGAATACGGCCCGAGTGCATGAAACTTTCCTCCTCGTGATTAAAAGAAAAAACCGTATCAGAGATTTTATTCACATCTTTATCATTTCCCTAAAACTTGAACACATTTTTATGAACAGGTCGATAGATCGTCGCCCAAATTTTTGACACCAGAACGCGGCGGAGTGCTGCAACGGATAGACGCTCAGTTTGCCGATTTCGACATCTCGCTTGAGGAAACGGCCGTCAGGGAATTGATGGAGTTCGTAAAACACGTTCAGATTGAAATTGATGCGATTGGAGCTAGATTTGCTCCTCCACCTGAGAAACGAGAGCGTCGTCGACGCAGTTCGTCGTCTGCAGTTGCACAGAATCAAGCCGCATCGAAAAAATTCACGTCGGAGAATATTCACAATATGTTCGGAGGTTTGTTTCGCTTTCCTTGGCAGAAAGATCCCTTGTTGATGGTTGAAAGGAGTTACCGCATTTAAAAAACTGCTTGAAGTACGAAGTGTCGATGCATCTGCTGGCTGGACTTGATATTACAGCAGGATGAAATTATCGTACATCAGGAAGGTTCATTTTGAACTGAAAACTTGAATGCTCAGTAGCGAAAGAACGTAAATCGTATGGACTTTACGACGAAATGCAGGGAAAAAAATTCGTTGTAGAGAGAATTCCGTTATTGAGAACCCCGATGAGATGGGTGGAGAACCCTGTGGAACCAAAAGAAGAAAAAAAAAACGTTGCACAGAAAAAAATCTTCGTAAAGAGAGTCCACCTACCTGTATAATAGTACTGTATGTTACTCTTGTATTCAGTGCTTTGAAGAAGCGGACATCAGTCTTCGGTAAAAGATTGCTCCCGGTGATTTAATTTTTTATATTTATCATACAAATATCTTAATTTGTTGACCCTGAGTGTAAATGCGTGTATAAGATATCATGTAAGTTACCAAAATACGGTGATGTCCCAGATCTTTACGCGTAATAATTGTAAGTGATGAAATTTTGTGCAAAATTTCAACCTAATCGAGAAAGTTCAATTTTCTAGAATGCTTGGAAAATAGACGAGTACTGTATTTACTCGAGTACCACGCGCACATTTTTCCTCAAAATTGAGAGGAAAAAGCAGGGTGCGCCTCAAACGCAGGATAAATTTTTCAGAAAGTGTTAGAAGTTCAGGGGGACATAGCACTTGCATTTTCTGAAAAATTTGTTTCTTTAATTTTGAAACTAAAAACAATTGAAAATTCATTAAATTCAGGTTGAATTTATTTTCAAGTTTAGATTCTGGTATCTCATTTTTTAAAGACTGTACTTTTTCAATCACTGAAACTGGGGTGCTCGTCTTACCTGAAGATCGAATTTCTTCAAAATTTCAGGGTTAAAAATGAGGCACCTGTCTTACTTGAGGGTAATCGAGGGTATTCAGTTTCAAGATTTTTGCATGTACATACACGTACAGGAGAAGATGTATCAAATTATATTTGATTTGAAGGATTATTTTTTCGAATGTCCAGAAACAGCAGCAGCGGTTGGAGTGAAGCAATCGGCAATATTTCCGGATGGGATAACATTTTTCCTTGCCGAGTTGCGATGGCGATCTCTGGGTTTAAAGCTTACTTGGGGTTCACGCGGAAACGCCTATCAAATGCGAACAGTCGGGCTTTACAGTGCAATCAGTATGCGGAAAGATCAGATGGACTTGGCAGCGAAAATTGAAGACATTCACTTGTGCGAGTCCGATCCGATCGGTCCATACGCAACCGTGAGTCACCTTTTTTTTTAGCAAACTCTCTCGATACCCGGAGTTCCAAGTCGTTTCTTTGATGTACAGCTGGTGAAGTCTGCATCGACCGATGCCATGAAGCTGAAGGTGAATCTGTATAAATTGAAAACGGATCACGAAAAATATGTCGATGTCGACAAGAATGATATATCTGTGGAAGCAACTTTTGGTCGACTGGATGTCATCTACGTTCAGCGTTCATTCCTTGAAATGCTAGTGAGTTTTTTATTTACTATGTTTTTCTGTCATTTTTATTTGTACGCTTTAACTTTCTAAATGATTTTTACTTCTGATAACGAAGATGTCACCTGAATTTTTTCATGTTCGAGGAAGTCTGGGATCGGGTAGCTTAGAATTTTAGGAGAGGTGTGATAAGATTTTTCCTCAATAATCAGTAAATAGATTAATAATGATTTTTAAAATTTAAATAAGTAAATAAATTTGCTGAAAAAATGTTCCTGCTCGCTTCTGAACACCCCCTCCATGTCCACAGAGAAATCGGGCCACCTCGTATGTTTGATTTGTTTTTCTGTTTCAAGCGACATCTGTCTGAAATTCCATGAAGCAGTTAGGGTCATTTAGTATGTTATATAAAGAAATACGACATTTGTTTTTTAATTTGAAATTATTTATTTTCAAATCCTTCAGGAAGTTTACAACGACGTCATGGCTGTCGTAGCGAGTCCCGAAAATCCTCCAGAAAAAGTTGAACAGGAAGATAAGAAAGATGAAGACCTGACCCAAGCTGTGACGGACGCATTGGTGGAAATCGGCGAACGTCCGCAACGGATCAAATTGAATGTTTCCATCAAAGCCCCCGTTGTACACGTGCCTCGTAACATCAACAGTCTGGAGGCTTTCGTGGCCGATTTCGGTGAAATCAAAATTATAAACGAATTCCGTCTCGGGGAAACGTGCAACGAGGCTGGACATCCGAGCATGTATTCGGACTTCCTCATCCGTTTGACCAACTTGAACATGTCACGATGTCTGTTGGCCATGTCTAAGGGAAGCGAGGAAATTTTGGACGTATTACAAATCGTGTCCAAGGTGATGATCTTTGAGCCGATCACCGTGACTGTTGGGTGCCAACAGAATTTATCTGCGGAATGGCTCAAAAAAGCACCTGTGATGGAATTCTACGGGCATTTCGAGGACATAAAAGTAAGTTTACGACATTCACGCGGTTATCCATGCCTTGATTTCGGCCTGCTATTTGAAACGGTGTGGACCTTGGAAGAATTTGAAGCCTTTCTTTGTGGATAATTGTGACCAAAACAAGCATAAAAATTGATCGCATTCCTTTTTTGGAAGTCATGCATGCGAATCAACTTTTTTGTTCAACTTTTACGAAATTTCCTGAGCGTTTGCAAAATTTATGCATTAAAATACGTACTAAGATAATCAGTCAGGACACAAGAATTAACCTGAAAGAAAAGTAGAAAATCTCTTGCGTACTTTTGCTTTGGAAAAACATTTTTCTGTTTTATTTTACTTTATTTTTTGGCCTTTCGTGATATTCTTTCTTCAACCGCAGCCCAAATCTAGGCCACACACTATTTTGAATAACAGCCACATCCGAGTTTATCGGTATTTGTGTTTTTGTTGTTGAATTGAAGCCAATAATCCCGTGAACACGGAGCTTGAATATCTGAACGTTAGCATCGTTTTTCGATCACTGATGAATTCTTGTATCCAGGGAAATCTGTCCGATGAAGACTACGACGTGTTGATGCTGACTTTGTCGGAAAATTTGAGTGATAATCCGAGCAAGCGAGGATCAACTTTGCCGAGGAAACGTGTGGACAATGGGTTGCAGAAAAGCGGTGAAATTCAAGTTGCCGAGGACGCCCTTGCTATTGAATCAGTTCCCGACACGCAAACTAAGCGTTTGCCGCCAGAATCAGAGCGAGTAACGCTTGCTTGCTTGCTGAGGCTAGAGACAATTTCACTTGAATTGTTCAACGGATCTTCAGAATTAGTGAGTTTTTTTTATGTAGCATTACTTAGTTTGAACGAAATTTTTTTTAATGGATCGTGGCTGACTGCCGAATTAAAATTCCCACGTCTTATGCGTTATTGACTTTTTATTTTTGTGCAATTTCTCTGTTTCAAGTTTACAAGTGACCCATCCTCATTTAAATAACGAGCGCAGTATTGACAATGCATTCTTACCAATGACATCTGTGAGTAATGTTTTCCATATGCAGTGTGATGAACGAACTTGACAATTTCATAAAAAAGTGACGGATATTTGTTTGACTAATTGCCAGATGATATCTAATTTCAGCTCTGGAACTTTCCATGCGTCCGTAAAAAATGAAGAAAACTATTGTAGATTATAAATCACAACGAATTTGTTTTTTCTGTCCCTGTCTGAAAGCCACGATGCTATTTTAATTTCGTTTTTAAAATTTTTTTCATAGAAAAGGCATTCTCAAGTTCCCAAACGCTTCTATGTTTCTAAAGTTTACTGTGGTACGATGCATCCTGAACAGCGAAAATGAAAGAAACCCCCGAAACATTCCTTCGCATTTTGAATGAATGAAATCTTGAACAATAGTCGCTACACGTTGGTTGAATGCAATATATTAAAACAAAATTATTATTTTTTTTTTTATGCATACTAGGAGTCGGAGGTGAGTCTCTTCATTAAATCTGATCAATATTGCATGCCGTAGACTTAGATTGCGGTAACTGTACTTGAATAGGATGCCCCATTTTGGCCCTTTTTTTTTTACTAAAAGTTAGTCCTCTAGTTTTTTTTTTTTAATTACAGTACTGTAATTCATATTTATTATTTTAAAAATTCAGAATCGAGCCGATGATGCTCCGGTGTTGATCAAGAGGAATCCGAAACGAAGTTTGTCAATCGTGAAGCTGACGGGTATTTGTTTGGGAGCCCGAATGAAGTCGGATTCCACGCTGCAGTCACATGTCAGATTGGAAGACTGCGTGGTGCACGACTCACGCTATAGACGAAGAAAAAGCACCAGTGGGATCGTTGATTTATTCCATCGGAAACACAAACGCCAAGTTGATGGACTCTCAGAAAAAGGTAATCATAATTTTCTTCTCGTTTTCCCCAAGGATACTTGAATCTTAATTTGATGTCGTGCGTTTCAAATGGTTTGATACATTTTTTTTAAATATCGGGCTCGTTTTGATTGACACGTCGTGCAAACAATTGAAAAATTTTTAAAAAATGTGGAATTGATCGTCATTTTTTAGGCACAGATGCTGAGAGACAAAAAGCTGGACAAGACAAAAGCACGGATTCCCCGAATATTTATGAAGAAGTTTCCGTCGACGACACGTACATGGCGGGAGTGGACCTTGAGTACGAAGACGACCTTTTGTTGCAGCTGCAAAAGCGATGCGATGACCCCATTGATGCCATGATGCGGATCTTTCGTCGCTACGACGCCGGGCTCTACGAATTGGAAGAATCCTGCGAACTGACGCGTCCTGCCGACACTGACGAGAATGACGAGTTTTACGACGCCCCTTCGGAAGAAGAAGACTTTGCAGACGCTGAAGAAGCCTCGACTTTGCCGATGTCGAAACGATCAGTCGGGGGTGCGGATTCCGCTGTGTCTGGAGCTAAGAGTGACCAGAAGGTGGACATGGAAAGAGCTTGTAGCTTCGCCAAAAAAATGTCGGAGACCGGCAAGCAAACTGCGAAGCTTTTCAAGGAATTTTCCGACAAAATCAGGTCCTGTGCCGGATCGAAAGACAACATGCTGGATATCGTTTTCAAGATCAACGAGATTCAGGAAACTCATGGTGAATTTTTAATTTTCTTCCCTTCTATTCAACTTTTCATAAAAGTGACACCTGGTGTTGAAAGTAAAATTACATTTAAAATATAATTTTCTGTGAAATAAATTAGTTCGACCTCTTTGAGTATTCCGCTCCATTGCCGACCTTGATATTATTGTTCAAAATAGACAATTAAGAAGAAATTTGTATTAGATTTTGAAGTTGAAATAACCTCTAATTGTCACTCGACTGTTTTTTTTTTTTTCAGTGAAAATAAGAACAGCGCATTCTGTAGTAGTGGCGGATATTGAATACCTGATGGCGTTGAGCGAGTTTTTCCTGATCTCGGAGGAGACGCGCCAGTCTACGAGGAATGTTGTTGTCCGAAAGAGACCTTCAAACACTGCGTCTGCTTCGCCCGAAGTGAAACCTGGATTGATGGTCGTCCGATTACTAGTTAATGAACCGGATATTGCCCTAGTTGAAGATTTGAACGACATTAACTCGAATGCCATAATCGTAAATGTGAGTGATGAAATCGCTTTTTGTTGCTGCTTTTTTTTTCGAAGGACGGAACGATTGTTTCAAGTCACGACAATTTTGATGCGTATTTGATGAAATTTTCTTAATTTCTGTTGTTTTTCTACAGACGAGATTGAACTTCATCGCGAGTTTCGATGGTCCTGTGACGAAGTTCCAAGGATCATTTTCAAAGCTGAGGATGTACTCCGGGGTTTATAATCCGAAACGACGACAAGAAACCACCAACATGGTAATCTTTTTATAATTTTCCTATTATAGATTGGTTATCCCGTTTCTGTGATTTTACTTTCGGTTGCTTGAATTCTATCACGTTTGTTTTCTAATGTTGATAGAGAATAGCTTGTTTAAATCAGTCATTTTGTGTTGAATGTCAACTATCGATTTTTAAAAAGTTAATTGCGTATCTTGGTCCTATTCGAGGTAGAGGCGACATCTTCCGGATGTTCGAATATTGAGTTAAACCTAAATACTGTTACGATTATTCATAACAATACGGAGTTTTATTCTAGAAGCTGCTTGAGAACCTATTCTGAATTGTATTCATTTATCGGTCTTCTTATATTTCTCTCGTTCATATCGTATTTGGCTTGACAAGTAAATCATGTTTTCAGATTCTGAAGCCTACTGGATTTTCTGTTGTAATGAAGACGGTGGTGAATGAAGAGCAGAAAATTGATTTGAACGTCGGTCCATTGATTTTTCGCATTGATCCCTCGACCATTGCATTGATGTCGTCGCTGTCAGCCAAAGCTGCGCAGTGCACGAAGACAGATGCAGACTTGGACGAGTCTGCAGAAGTCACATTGAAGTCTAGACCCACCCTCAGTATTTGGGAATTCGCGGACCTTGAGCCCAATGATTTCAAATTTGCCGAAGAAGACCCCGAGGAAGTTCCTCCGCTCGTTGCTGAACTCGGGTTCGGGACTGACGTTTTGTCCATCGGAGGAAGTTCGACGGGGTCCTCGATCATTCCGAATATGACGCAGTTGTTGGTGTTGGAAGCCAAGAAGGTCTTAGTGACCTTGGAATTCGGTTCTCCCACAAAACCCATCCCCATTGTGATGCTTGACGCGTCATTTGTTGGGGACGCGTCGAACTGGACGTATGCCTTGGATGCGAGTTTCACTGCAAGTTGTCAGGTTGCGGCGTATAATCCCGAAAAAGGGGTTTGGGAGCCGTTGCTGGAACCGGTTGAGACTCTGAATGAGGCATTAGTTGTAAGGTATGATTCTGCTGTGAAGTGTGAACCATCCGCGTTTTTAAGTGATTTTCTGGCCTCAGATTTACCTCGTAAACCTGGCTATAAAATTCAGACACCTCAATAACCATATAAATCTTGACGCACTTCAAAAATTATTTAATTTCGGTTGAAAACCATGTTTAGGGAATAACCGGGAAAGTTGTGTGAATTTTTTGAAATTTTTTCTGCCGGATTAAAATTTAGTAGGTAATTGTTGAAGATCAACCTTGACGTCACACAAGGTTTAATGAGTAAATGATGATTAACTTATGAAAATTATTTTATTTCTTTATTTTTGCCAAAGGTGAAAGAATCAGATCGTGAAAAAAATTGGAAATACAGAAGGAATCTTGAGTCTTGTAAAATCTTTCGAATTAATCTGATAATCTGAGTTATCCTTACTTTGCTTGAAATACTCGAAGTGTTTTTGTCCCGAAAATCAGACCACCCTTTTAATACTGTACTTCCTTTGTTCAGTGGAGTTAGTTAGCTGCGGTTCTTTTGTGCGTGATATGCATTTTGATAGTTGGTTATTGTGTAGACAAATCGTATCCGAAAACAGTATCGTTCATTTTTGTTTTATTTCTTTGTCCTCATATCACATGTTAACTTTCAATTGGTCAGGTTAATTTAAATTTTATTCCTTTATTCACTCGACTACCGCGCGCCCGCGAATGTGACGGGCACCTCAGTTTTTTGGCATGACATTTGCCCAAAATTTATCCCAGCCTAAGACGCACACCCCAGTTTTCCGTGGTTGAAAATCGATTTAAAAAAAATTATAATGATGAAAAAAATAAATCCAAAAAATAAATGTAAGAAGATACAGCATTTCACCCGAAGAGAATTCCCTATTTGCTCCTGAAAAGTAATCACTTATGGCTCCCACACCAAACTTTCTACTTCTTTGCTGCAGAAAATTTATAGCCGCATACCACGCGCACCCCAGATTTGCCTTGATTTTGCAGAAAAAGGTCGCGTGTGGTAATCGAGTAAATACGGTAATTATATTTGGTCATAGGTCATATTCGAGATGCACCTTAATTTACGTAATTTTCTGATAGCAAGTAATTTGATGCTTACGATTCTTCCCACAGACGTGCGTTCGAGTTGGACTTCCTTGTCATTGGGCGATACGATGGACACAGTAGTGCCGGAAGCATGGAAGATGTTGACCTTCACTCGGAAGTTGCAGACGTAGTCGACTCCGGATACAGCTCACTTCGACTGCCGTCACCCAAATTGACCATCAGCTGCGTTTCAAAAGACACATTGAACCTGACGGTTTCGAAGACGTCTCTGGAGGTGATGACAGAACTGAGTGCGTCGTTTGCGGATGCGATGACGATTGAAATGCAGAAAAAACCGGCCCAGACTGCGCCGTATATTCTGCAGAATGATTTGGGTGTCGACGTGGTGCTGGAGTTGGAAAAGAGTAATTTCAAGGTACAGTTTTATAAATTTTCGATTTTTTCTTATGCCCTCTTTTTTGTGAAACTTGAGAAACCCATGTTTTTTTAAGGAAAAGATGAATAATTTTAAAGTCACTTTCCTTTTTTGAAAACTCAACACTTCCTTTTGTAATAATTTACGAGTCTAAAATAGTTTATGGCGTATTTAAATACTGTATTTACACTATTTTATTCTTCCTGTTCCTGTTGATTGAAATAACTAGGTTTTTATTCGGACTTGCAGTGAAATTAATTGTGATGCATATTGAAAAAAAAAACAATTTTGTGGAATTTCAGATGCCTTTATTTACTTCAGCTGGTTTTTTCGAGATTTCATGCATATAACAAAATTAGAACCACGTTTTGTGGTTGATTTTAGCAATTTATTTCGAGTTTTTTGTGAATTCGTTCTACGGAATCGTGGAATTTCGTGATCACTAAAGCAAGTTGCTTTCGTTTTTCAGGTTTTGCAAAATGCGATGCTGAGTGTGGATGAGCAGTGGGTTTTGGGTGCGGGAGATAACGTCGGATTGGACTGGTTTGATTTGAGTTCTGACGATGGAGTGGCGGAGAAACGATTTGTGCGACAGTACAAGGGAGTGGATGAGATCTTGAAAGAACAAAGTACACCTGAACAACGTTTTCTGTATCTGAATGTAAGGCTTTCAATTCTCAGCGGTTTGTTTGAATTAATGACACCAACAAGAGAACTACAGTACAGTTTTTTTTTTTTTTTCGGGCCGGTAGGTGAAGAACCGAGTTTTTGAACTGCCAGCAGTAAGAAGCGGATTAAGGTATTATTCAATCAACGAACGCAGCGAGGGATTTATTGCCAGCATTGTTCATGACAGTGGCTTCAGGACCGTTACCCTATCGTCCAATGTGGAGGCAAGTATTACATTCTACGCTTTCGTTTATCAAGTTTTAAATTGAAAAGCTTTTCTTCCTTTGTGCAGGTGCACAATTTTTTCCAGTTTCCCATACAAGTTTTTTATCTTGGAAAGAAAGATAACAAGGAATCCAAAATTTTGTGTGCGACTGCTGATCCTGGGAAGACGGCGAATCTTCCGCTTCATGCTGTTTTCAATGCCACGGCTGAGCTTTACTTTGGTGCTGAAGGGTGAGAAATAATTTTCGATTACGATCAAGAGAATCCACTGAGAACAAGGCATATTTCACTCTGAAATGTTGATTTTAATATAATGTAGAGTAGCTTGGCTTGATTTATGATAAAATGAAAAAAGGATACTGTAGAATATTTTTGTATAAAATTATTTTATGAAAAGATAATCGTGCGATTGATTTCGCATGTCATCTCACCAGCTTAAAAAATTCCAATGCGGTATTATTAATTGAAAATTACTTTCTATTTCTTCTGGGCGAAACGCTCAAGAGTTGAAGTATTTTTTTTTCATTGCCGCTTTACTTCTATGCACGTTGACTTGAATTTAACTAATGTCATAGAAGAATTTGAGCCTAGTTTTATTTGGCCCATTTTGCAAACGTGTTCATTACCGTTGAGAATGAAATGTGCGTACATTTGAGTTTTCCTACTTGATCTTGAATCGCCCACAATTTTCGTAAACCTTGCAAACTTGGTCTAATAATTAGTGCTGTATCTGTATAAATATAAGTGTATATTTTCGAGAAGGCTTGTTGGAGCATTGATATTTATTTATTGGGGAAAACTTTTACATTCTTAAATTATGAAATCCTTCTTGGCGGGATACGATAATGCTATGAATCTTGAATTTTTCTAATTCACGAATCCTTCTTTATTTTCGAAAAAAAATTGATTTTTCATGGGGTTTCTAAGCTTTTTCATTGGTTTGTATTTATGAAAGTTTTCATCCGTTTGATACTGTGTACAGTATAAATAAATTTTTTTTCACGTTGCAGTGTCGAACCGTCAGTTCTACGCATGCACACCTCTTTAGAGGTGTCTGTAGGCCTGCTTCTTCTTTAGCGCCGTTGTCAGTGAACGCTCTCGTCAGCGCGTCTTCCGGGCGACGTGTAGTTGCAACAGCCGTTTTCTCTGTTACCAGTTCTCCTCGGCAACACGACTGTCAAGGGCTGGGGTCATTCCGCGAAATTTGTTCTCCAACTGTACCCGACGGCCTCTGTGCGCAACCTGCTGCCGATACCCATCGAAGTTCGGGCGACGAGAGAATCTGAACCCGGCACAACATCACCTACAGCTATTCCGGCTATTGTGAATGCCGGGGAAACTGTGAACCTGCCTGTGTGGATCGCCGGGGTGTCGTGGTTGAGTGTGGCGTTGCCAGAGTATCAAAAGGGAAGATGGGAATGCAGGGTGAAGTTGGATGCGCATCCCAAGAAGATCACGACGATTACCTTGTCAGCAACTGCGCAGGACTCGAAGAAGGCTGGGGTGTCCCTGGGTGTGCTCACGAAGCAGGAGATTCGAGGCTCAAAGTTCTTTCAGATTTTCTCTCCGTTCTGGATGGTCAACGAAACCGGCAAGATGTTGACTTACAAGGTTTGATTGAAAATTGAGCAGCTTATTGCAGTATTTGCATCTGTTGAAAAGGAAAATTTTAGTCATTCTTTCAGATTTTCTCTCCGTTCTGGATGGTCAACGAAACCGGCAAGATGTTGACTTACAAGGTTTGATTGAAAATTGAGCAGCTTATTGCAGTATTTGCATCTGTTGAAAAGGAAAATTTTAGTCAGGAATATCCGTGGGTTTCTGGTAAAAAGCCGTTCCAAGTGTTTTGATTTACTTTAATTCGGGCTATTTTATTTTTGGTTAGTTTATGTTAGGTTTTTTTATATTTGGTTTGTTCAGGTTAGGTTATTTTGTATCAGCTTAGTTTTTAGTGTACGTTAGGTAAGGTTAATTTAGGTTTTTTCTTATTTTGCAACTTTTTCTTAGATGAAATTTAATGCAAAAATATATTTGGGATGTAATTTTTCGTATAGAACAAAGGATGAAAGATATTGAAGGTCGAGGGGAATTAAAGTTTAGTGTTACACAATTCAGCATTACTCGATGTATTTCATTTCAAATTAAGTGGAAAGAAACTGATGCAAAGATTTCGCTTGATTGGCGTATATTATTCATTTTATTTTTTATACTTTCAAGTAATGATCGTGAACATCTTCGACGAAATTTTGGTTTACAGTACTTGTAGATACTGTACTTGACGTTCGAGATGCGGAGGTTTGCTTGTATCAACGAGAATGCGAGAATTTTATTGTTGTTTCCTTTGAAAACCCCGTTGTGTTCCCATTTCTTTGTACGGTTCTGTCATTTTTTGACGCAGTATGATGAAGGGATTTGTTCACCGTTTGGCAAATGGACATTGTGTCCCGAATTTTGTTCAAGCGAAAGTGCATGCAAGTGCTTGCCAGAAACCGAATCCGACTCGGAAGGGGTACGAAGAAAAAAAAGGAGCCTCTATTAATTGAGTTCTACTGCTGAGCTCAATTGCTGGGGGATCTTCTGAGTTTGATTATCTACCGATTTTTCTATTGAATTTTATCATCTTGCGTTTAGGGCGACGACCAGTTCAATACCTTCTATCATCCTGGAGATACGCGGAGTCCGGTTTTGTTCGCTCCATCAAAGCACGTCGAAATGACGAAGAAGCAAGGTTTCAAGTTACGTGTCTCGGGTTCGGAGTTTTCCGATCGGGTGCCTTTGGACAACGTCGGTGATGTTGGACTCGTGTCTTGTACTTCCAAAGATCAAATATTCCAGGTTGGGACATTTTTTGTTTTCGTTGAATTTCGAACATTTCTGAATGGCTGTTAAAAGATGTAGAGAATTTTCATGAAAGTCCAGATTAAAAAAAAAAATCAGACAAATCTTTTCACTTGTAAGATTCTGCCGAGCAAAAATTCGCTTCTCACCAGCGTGAAAATTTGTTTTTGAAAGAATTGGTGCATGCAGATGATCATCTTTCTTTTGTCCAACAGAACATCATAAACTGTAGCAAGTTTTCACGTTTTTGGTTGTTTATTCTGAAGAATTTGTGGATGAACTTTTTATTATTCGTTGTCTCTCTGAGGAGACGGACAATTTAGTTGCTGTTCTGTTCGTTGCTTTTCAGAAGTATTTTCTCCTTTTTAAAAAAAAAATATATTTTGTTTTTCATCAGATTGGAGTATCATCAGTGGTGAGCAGCTTCACGCTGACACGGTTCGTGATTCTCCGACCGTACTTTACATTCACCAATTCCTCACTCGACCTTCCGCTATTCGTCCGTGGCGGCGGGCGGTACTCGGACACCAACTGGACAGAACTGCCGCCAGGGACGACCATTCCGTGGTGGCCGATAAAGCAAGACGAGAACAAGATTGTTTTGAAGGCCGGGGAATATGCGGAGGTGAGCGACGCCTTCGACATTGTGGACGCGGCCAACGAATTGCTTCTGCGGCTTCGGAATCCGATCGGCGGGGTTTTTGTCGAGTGTACGACGACCGACTCTGCGAGATCCGTGTCGTTTTCCCGCTATCAACCCGGCATGGCACCCGTGGTGCTGTTGAATCATACGACGAACATGAAAATTCGTTTCTGGCAAAAGAACGCGGACAAGAGCCATTTCTTGCTGCCTGGGAAGAAAATCATATTTGCTTGGCAGCCGGGAGAGGAAGGGAATCGGACCTTTGTGTGGGAATGCGGGAAATCCAAAATTAATGACAAGCTCCTGCAGGTGAGACTTCTTTCGGATATTGCCTACAAAAAAAAATTTGATTGGTTCATGTGCACATATCCTCCAGAAATTTAATTTGATTGACCCGTTTTATTCTTGCATTCTTCAGATGTAAATAGAGGTGTTCAACAAACGAGTCGTTCGTTGTATGGGACGCGCCCTTGTGACCTGGGAAAACCTTTGTTACAATGAAATTTTCTATGAAATGAGCGTCAAATAATCATGTGGCTATACTGGAGGAACTTCGAAAATTAATTCTGCCAAATAATAACAGTGATTCGTTCTGATGCGATGTTCTAAATAAAGATTCGTTCGAAATTAAAATACCGGTACGCTTTAATGATTGATAAGTTCAAAATGACGATTCGCTTTAAGTAAGTTTTCGTTCTAAATAATAACGCGTTCTAAATAGCAATTCGCTTTAAATAAAAATTAGCTTTGATTGAAAATTCGCTTTCAACAATAATTCGCTTCAAATAAAAATTTGCTTTGATTGAAAATTCGCTTTCAACAATAATTCGCTTCAAATAACAATTTGCATTAAAATTGTAGTTTTGAAATAGTGATGTTTTCCACATAATGATTTTTTCTAAATAAAATTTCGCTTTAAATTATAAATCGTGTGAAATATTAATTCGCTTGAAATAATAATTTTTCTGAAGAATGATTCGTTCCATGTCATGATTTTTTTCCAAGTAATAATTCTTTGTTCCTAGCTTCTGCTACGAATTCGACTGATATGACCGAGCTCTTTTTTTTTAATGTCCAGGATCGATGCGGACAAGTAGAAGGCCAAGGGGTCTACTGGGTATCTTTCGTCCACGGGTCTCAGCGAGTCCTACTCTTCACTCGCAACGTGGAACTCGCGTCTGCGGCGCAAATGTCTTTCGACTTGGAGGCGCAAGATGTCGCTGTTAACCTGACGTTGACGGACGTTGGTCTGTCCTTGGTGGACGACAAGGCGCGGAAAGAGGTGATGTACTTGAGCGTGTCGAGCTCGGGCATCACTTGGGACCTTCAGCACGGGCCTGGGAAGCCCTACAAGTCCATGGCTGCCAACGACACGTTGGCCCTGGAGAGGGCCTATGGAGAGTTCATCATGCAGCAGGCCCAGGTTCAGATGGATGGCCCTCGATTGCCGACAAAGATCTCAATCAGCAGGAATATGACTGTGAGTTTTTTTTTTCTCTCGTAAAACCACACTGATTTTTTTGGAAGATATTTCTTGAATATCCAATTGTTTATAAGTTGTATAAGGTACAGTAAAATATGTGCCGCAACGAACTTTTGGGGACTTCAGAAAATGTTTGTTGAATTGAGTAATTTGTCGTAGGATTTTTAAAATCATGACTGGACATTTTTTTTAAATGTGAGGCATATATTAGGTTTCTTTATTTTGCTAGAATTTTTCTATTTTTCACATGATCTTTCAAACAAAACGCTTGGCCACTCATGTATATAATGCATTCTCTTAATTTATTCATCAAATCGTACACTTCATCAGTGGCATTGTCTGCTTGCATCATATTTTATAATCCAAAATCTTCGCTGTTCCGCTCTTAGTCACTCCCAGTACAACCACAGTCCCTCTCTTTTATGTTTTCGCATGAATGAATTCAAGAATATGGAACTCAGCTGCAGGTTTTTGAAGCCTGTTTGACAGATCGAGTTGAAATGAACGAGTAAGTTCAAATCTTGAAACACATTCCTGTTTTGAAGAGACAAGATCACGTTTTTAGACAATACCAGTATTGAAAAGAAAAGAGTTTTAGACAAGAAACAGTCTCTGCAAGACAAACGTTGCAGAACTGGTATTTTTGAAACCTCTTGTTACATCGGAACACTCGCCACTCATAAACCCAAATTGTTGGATCTCCTTTTGAATTAAATCCCTTGCTCTATGAAATAATTTGTGAAGTTATATTCAGTTGATATGTGCTTCAAGAAATCCAACTCAACTTTTCAAACAGGCCCCAAACCCTGTAGTTGAGTTCAATATTCTTAACGTCACTCATGCACAGCCATGAAAGGGACAGGATATGTTAGCTTTGGGGAGATTGGTCATCACCCTTGCATCATGTTTTATCAATCCCACCTGGGTTTCCAGGATTTTGACGCATAAAACTTTGTTAAAAAAAAAAAACAGAACCTTTTTTTCAATGTCCTGAGATGGCATTTCCAACGTGTTACGATTCAGACATTTTCTGGGGCAACTCTGAATAGAATTTTTACGGTCGTCACATATACCAGCGATATTCAGCGAAAGACAGTTTTTTTTCGGGTAGATTTTATTTTCAGGTACAGATCTTGTGAAAAATCTTCCTTGATGCTGCCGAAGAAAATGTTGCCGTAGGTTTTGTTCGCGAAAAGAAAAACTCGTCCAGTCGAAAGAATATAAGGTTTTCAAGCATTTGCAGCGTCTTTCCTCGTATTCGAAAAGTTTTCAAGTGCAAAACGCAATTTTGCACGGTTCGGTGCGCGCGTGTATTGTAAACTAGATGGCGCTCCCAACCCCTGGAGAGTTGAGTGCAAACGCAGCACAGCGCCACCATCACACACAAACGTGCACAGAAATCTCAGTCACAAATTTCCCTTGCTTCCCTACATGGCAACCCTCTTTTTTTTTTTTTCCGACAGGTGGATTTCAAAAGAATGATGCTTTGGACTCCGAGCAGCGGGCGGCTGAGACGAACTTTCCACACGGGAGTTTGGATCCACTACGCGTCGTCGCCGCATCAGATGAGCGTTCACGTCAAGTTGCACAATGTCCAAGTGGATTGCCAGCTGCACGATTGCACCTACCCTGTTGTTTTTGCACCTGTGCAACCCGCGAAAACCGTGGCACAACTGGGCGAAGGCTCCACACGACCCTTTGTCGAGGTCTCGTTGCGAACTCGGAAAACGGAGAGCACGACGGTGGCGTATCACTGCAGATACCTCAAGGTCCTCGTGCAAGAGTTTTTCGTCAAGATTGACAACGTGTTTGTGAACGGGTTGCTGCACTTTTTCGGAACTTCGGAGAAAGTCGCTGTGGACTTTGACAAGGACATGAACTTGATTGCCAATGTCGGGTTGTCGAGTGACGCCTTGGTTGGGGTCGGCGAAGACCCGATGAGGATTTACTTCGAACTGCTGCACTTCTCGCCGATCAAGATGCACTTGAGCTACAGTTTGGCTGGCTTTGGAGCCGGTGGTGCGACGGGGATCCGATCGGAGATTGTCGACCTGTTTCTGCAGAGTATCGGGGTCACGTTGACTGACGTGGATGACGTTGTTTTCAGGTGAACATTGCTCAACTCATTTGATACAAATGATTCCTTGATGCAACGAACCTACCGTATTTACTCGAGTAAGACACGCACCCCCATTTTTTTTGGGTNTCGCCGCATCAGATGAGCGTTCACGTCAAGTTGCACAATGTCCAAGTGGATTGCCAGCTGCACGATTGCACCTACCCTGTTGTTTTTGCACCTGTGCAACCCGCGAAAACCGTGGCACAACTGGGCGAAGGCTCCACACGACCCTTTGTCGAGGTCTCGTTGCGAACTCGGAAAACGGAGAGCACGACGGTGGCGTATCACTGCAGATACCTCAAGGTCCTCGTGCAAGAGTTTTTCGTCAAGATTGACAACGTGTTTGTGAACGGGTTGCTGCACTTTTTCGGAACTTCGGAGAAAGTCGCTGTGGACTTTGACAAGGACATGAACTTGATTGCCAATGTCGGGTTGTCGAGTGACGCCTTGGTTGGGGTCGGCGAAGACCCGATGAGGATTTACTTCGAACTGCTGCACTTCTCGCCGATCAAGATGCACTTGAGCTACAGTTTGGCTGGCTTTGGAGCCGGTGGTGCGACGGGGATCCGATCGGAGATTGTCGACCTGTTTCTGCAGAGTATCGGGGTCACGTTGACTGACGTGGATGACGTTGTTTTCAGGTGAACATTGCTCAACTCATTTGATACAAATGATTCCTTGATGCAACGAACCTACCGTATTTACTCGAGTAAGACACGCACCCCCATTTTTTTTGGGTGTGTGTGAGAAATTCGCCCAAAAACCTATCCCTGTGAAAAACCCGCACCCCAGTTTTTTTTGTCGTTTTTTTGTGCTGGAAATCAAGAATTGTGTAATTTTTTCCCATTGATGTTTTGTCTTCCCTGTTTTTTACTGTCTGCAGGAGCAGTTAAAATGTGCTTGGATTATGTATATGGCAGCTTCCTCAATTAGATTAATATTTTCCCTTCCTTTTCTTCCTGTTGCATATCCTAAAATTGTTATTGCTTGAACTATTATTTCCCGTGGACAAGGAGACTTGGTGCCACACATTTCCTCTTATACTTCGATGTAATCACATGTGTGAGGGACACTGGTTTTTGGGATTTTTGCTTGAAAAATTATCACTTAGTACCGTGCACACCTTATTTTTTGCCTCAATTTTTGTTATGCAAAAAGGTGCGCGTGGAACTCGAGTAAATGCGGAAATTTTTTTCAAAAATTTGGTTTGCTGCATTGGTCGCATTTTCCGAGAGAAAGTTGTACGTGCTGGTGCTTGGCTTGGATGTGATCGGTAATCCTTTTGGACTGGCAATGGGGATCGGACAAGGAGCCAAGGATTTGTTCTACGAGCCTATCCAAGGCGCTGTTCAGGTAAACATCCTTGTGAAATTTGAGTTTCCGTATTTGAAAACATTTTTTTTTGTTGATCAGCGAAGTATCTGTTTGGCTGAAGGCCAGAGAGTTTTTTTTTCGTGACTCTTGTGAATATTTTACTAATTACAGTAGAATCTTGATACAACGAGTATAGTCAAAAAAATTATTGTCTGATACGAATTCATTTTTTTCAGGCCCCTGTTCAGTCGCAACCTTATTTAAATTTCTTTGGAACGATTTTTTTTATATCAAGAAGCGTTTCTTTTGGTCCCAATGGCTTCGTTGTAACAAGGGTTTTACTGTATTCTGATTTTAAAATGCCGGAATTGTATGCTATGATTTCTTGAAAAGTTAGACTTCGCTTTTCAATTTTCAAAATGATCGTGATTCTATTTGCCATTTCTTAGCAATAGCAAAAAATTAAAACGTTTATTTAAAACAATTTCTTCCGAAGTTTTTGTCTGGTTTCTTGTTCAGGCTTTTGTTTGAATCCTCGAGTGAGGGTTTTTGTTGTTCATACAGTATTTTAGTTTCAATTGTGTGTACTACAATAAAAATGGATTTGCTCGAGTAAGACGCGCACCAGGAGTTTTTAACTCAAAATTTGTTATAAAATTGTATCTCCAATTAAGACGCGCATTGCATTTTCAGTGGCTCTGAAACTGAAATAATGTGGGCCCCCAACTTACAAGGGGCCCATGTTAATTTGGTTTCAACTTACAACGTTTTTTTTAAACCCCTGACTTATGTTGGGGTTTCATGATACAACAGCTTCTGAGGTTCTTCAGCTCCCTCCCACCTACCGTTTTTTTGGCGCCATGCATGCACCAACGGTTTTCCTGGGAGGAAGTGAGTTTTTTGTTTTGTGCCAAGGTTCATTCCTAGCCAGATTAAACTGTTAACAGTGTGAGATGATGCCATGAACAGGAAATAAATTGTCCTTAAGTTTGGAAATTGCTGTGTTTGGAGCATTTTTTTAAATTTTGTGTGTGCTGTACTGTTCATTTCATTATTGCTGAATAATTGTGTTTAGGAGGGATTTTGTGTGTTCTGTACTGACCTGTGTTTTTCATTATAGCTGAATAATTTTGTTTAGGAGGAATTTAATAATTTGCCAGAAAAATTTGCCAGAAAATTATCCATTCTTACAATTTTAAAACTCAACTAAATGTTTATTCCAGGCATTTCAAATTTCAAATGTGTGAACCAAGCCCTCCATCTGTTGAGATGGCACCTAAGAAAGTTTGAAAAGTTATAACTATCCAAGTGAAAAAATAGGGTAGGAGGAAAACATTCTCCTCCTACCCTATTTTACTACCCTACCCCCTATTCAAACATGTCTTGTGTCTATTAATGCAATTTCTGACAAAAAGTTGAAATATAAAGTTAATTCTAGTTCAATATTTTTTTTCTGGAACAAATTAATTTTTTTATAATGTAACCCTAAGGGAAATAGGGCTTCAACTTATGATGGCCCCATGTTACAATGTCCATCCTGGAATGGCTTGATGACGTAAGATGGGCCCACTGTATTTCAAAAATAAAAAAAAACCAACATTTGAATTTACACATGAATCTATCCTTCAATCAGTTAATTTACCGCTATTTTAATTGCAATACGTTTTTTAATTGTTCCAACTTCCCTATCAGAATCAAATATAATGCATAATATTGATTATCGAAAACTTGAAAAAAATTGATGATGCGCACCTCCTTTTTCCCTTTCCATTTTGAGAAAAAAAAAGTGCACGTTGTACTCTGATAAACACTGTTCTTCACTTATTGTCAATCCCAGGTCTCCTTAAACGCCTTCCGGACCGCGACCCGCACTTCTCGAAGCACCCGGTGTGCCAGCCGCCGTGACACCCCCGGGACAGGTTCTAGTGCCCGGTCCACCCGTTCCCTGAGCGCCGCCTGTCCATGGACAAGAACTATCAGAAGAAGCGGAAGGAGAATGCCCGACGCGGGGACGCCAACGCGGGTGCCAAACTCGTGCGCAATTTCCGCGGCCTGGGCATGGGCGTGTTTGACGGGGTGACGGGCGTCGTGCTGCAACCGATTTCCGGTGCCAAGGAAGAGGGATTCGGCGGCTTTCTCAAGGGCGTCGGGAAGGGAATGGTGGGCCTCGTGTCTAAGCCCACTTCGGGCGTCTTTGATTTCGCGTCGTCGAGTCTGGACATGGTGCGAAGGTGAGAAGAGGTTTCCTTTGATTATTGTTTGTCGTAGAAAGAGCGAAAAATGTAAAAAAAAAAAACAGTGATGCCAATTTGTTTCTCCTCAGATAGCAAATTGTATGATCATGCTGTATTTACAATTTTACCGCGAGGAAGTTTGTGTGTGTCACATCTCATTTGTCAAGGAATTCATTGGAAAATCAAATTTTAGTTTCTTTTAATCCTTGAAACGTCCTTTTTTTAAAGCATTCCAAAGGAGTAGGCATAAATGAACTTATTACACGCTCTGCGGCAGACAACATACTTCTTGAAGAATCAAAAACGCGAAGCTATTCTTTTTGAACACAAACCTTAATGACATGGTTTGCGCGTAAACAGGCAGTCATTGTCTGAATTCAGAATTAGAGCTTCAGAGGGTTCAATTATATCTAATCAGTCCTGAATTATCAGCACTCAAGCTCCTCAAATAATTCAGAGATTTGACTCCCTTCTGTCCTCGAACAGAAAATGAAACGGATTCGAAAGTTTTAATTGATTACCCGATTCGGACCAAAACAATCTTTTTAATGAAAATTAAGAATAAAATTATCAGAGAACAGAAGTAACTCATCTTTATTTTGACGCATGGGGTTAAATTTGTCTGTGTGTGTGTGTTTCCGTGAACAGGGTTGCGGATAATCAAGGAGTTGTTCACCGAATTCGACCACCGAGATTTCTGGAAGCCGATGGAACGATTCGTCCTTATTCGAGGCAAACTGCTGAAGGCAATGAAGTGCTTCAAGTGAGTCCAATTTGATGGTTGCCTCCCCCTTTTTTTGAGATGCTGAATCTTCAGGTCGTCAAATTATTTGTCTAGACAAGTGATACTTTGTGGGTTGAGTTCTGCGAGTATTGGTTTTTTAGTTTATGTACTTCAGTTCTTTTGGCTGCTCGCAAAAAATTCGGTTCCAGTTGGATAGATGTCGCATGGTCGTGTTCTATTTCACGCTTCGTTCCTTTTTATAATGCTTCATATATCAGAATCTAGGCACTATTTTTAATTCTTCTCGCTGTTTTTAAATTTTGAATAGAACGTGGACAAGGGCAAATACGCAGTCACAGACACATACGTGGCACATCTCGTCACCGAACCTGACGGGAAGACAGTGTTTCTTGTCACGTCGGCGAGAATGATGTTGGCCAGGAAAACGGACATCCTGGGGAATTGGGAAATCGAGTGGGAACACGTGTTGGAGCATTTTATCGACGCTGCTGTCGAGGCTGGACAATTGAAATTGACCTTGAAACGCACCGACTCGTCTCCGGTCGGTGTTGCCAAATTATTCTCAAACTTTCGCGGGGCGAAGAGTCAGACGCAAGAACGGATCCGGATTGTCAAGGTCCAGAACCGGGCGCAAGCTGAGGTCAGTCAAATGCCATATTACGTGGGATTCAAAAGGAAAATCACAAATTGTCTTATGATCAATTTTCCCCACCTTTCTGAAGTAGGGTATTCTTTAAAACGCACATTTATCGTTTTTTTTAATGCAAAACTAACGACAAAGTCTGCAGTGAATTAAAGATGTCCTTTTTTGGACGTCAGTTTTTTTTCGAATTTTAGAATCAGGAGACACTTGATACTTTTTCTTGCGCTTAGTCAGGATTTTAACTCATGTATCCTTGAACTGAATTGGTAGTTGATGGAATGTTCTGTAAACATGGTTTTTCTAAAGTTTGTGTTCGTCATCTGAAAGAATGCCATTCGAGACGCGCCCAGATTTTAAGAGGTGTGCCCGAGTGTACTAATATCAAATTGTTGATCCAAGAGTTTCGATCGCACTACTGTACTAGATTTAGGAAATTTAAATTGGAGTAAACTTTGTATTATTTGTCTCTTGAAAATGTAGGGAACTGTTTTCTGCTAAAATTTTGCTTCAAAAACTGGAAACAAGATTGAATGGGGAAATCTTTCACATTTTTTCGTGCATTGAAATCAAGTGTTGAAATGCTCAGATTTTTCTTTGTTCTTGTTGCAGTGGTTGAAAATGAAACTTGTCGCTGCCCGACAAGCGATGAGGACATGAATGCTGAATGTGGGACATTCCAGCCATGAATGTCTTATCTGCTTTCGTCATTATTCGTGCTTTCTATGACGTGGATATGGGGAAGTGATTGTCTCTCCCTGGTTTCGGGATTTGCGGGAAATCGGTGCATTTTTTTTATCCTGTGCTGTGATGCAGTGTCGATTCAGATCGGGTTGAAGGTGTTATGATTTGGTACTAGTTTCTCTGCTGATCGCGGATGACCTTAATGCAAGGTGAAAAATCGAGTCAACTGTTCTTTGTTTTCTCTGACGTATATAATCTTTTTTCTGTCCTGATTACAATCAATATACCCATATAATATTTTAAGGGGAGAACGTTGCATGAAATTTAACACTCGATTTTTACAAATTCAATTTTGATGTGTGCATTATCTTGCACTTTTTACTTTTTCCCTCTGCTCTCTGAAGTATCAGACGGAGAAAGAAGATTGTTAACTGTTTACTTTTATGTGCTGTTATTAATTCGTAGTGATTATCATTTATCTAGTGGTTTTGCAGGTATGAACAGCTTTTCGGCATTTATTTTTCTTGAATCGGAGTGAAAGGAAAATTAATATTTATCATTAATTTGAGAATTTTTAGCACCGTACTGTTCCTACTTGAATAAAGTGAGACAAAACTCGCGTTATCGAATATAGAACTTCTAATATCCGCATCCAACTCACAGGCATTGAAGACGGAATGATAGATTGATTGCATTCATAAGCTGGAAAAATTAAAGCAATCGAAGGAGAACTTGGCCCATCTCAGAATTCCCCCCTCGTTGCATCCCACCGAATCGTTCCACGCGAACGCATTTGCTGATAAAAAAAAACCCTCTTCAACAATCAATCAATCAATCAAACAACCACTGAACAAAAATAACCGAAGCCCGTGCAACCGAAAAACAAAAAAAACATCACGATCAAAAAATTGGTTTCCCTCGAGTTAATAGCTGCTTCCAGTTTTTTTTTTATTTTATTAATGTTACGACACAGCGCTTATCATATATCCACCTATGTATTCATCTATGTATAGGGCAAGGCAAGCATTTTCCTGGACGGAGAAATTTTCGCAAAAAACACTCATCCGAACGCAGAACACGGCTTAAATAAAATCACAAGCTCAAATTGATCTAAAATACAAAGGCGCCATCACACGTTAGGGAAATCATCATCACGCATTGTTCCACGATGTGGTTGTCACCTGAGGGAGAAACAAAAAAGACGGACGGCATTTAATAAATAACATCGCATCTCAAATATTCCTTCTGTAAGTACATGAATTGGGACATACATTTTGTCTCATCGTTTACTTCCCTTGTATTCTCACTAAATTCAAAATAATATAAAAAACTTCGCGAGGACGGTGAGCCAACCCTTTACCTTCATTTAAAAAAAAGAAGATAGCATAGATAGATACCTTGAATTGTCAAGATAAGACCTGAGTATTGAACGTTCCATGACGTGTATATTAGTGAGTAAGAATTTATCAGGTAAATTTCAAGAACTGAAGACAAGCGTTCTTCAAGTCTCGTTAAAAATCAAAGTGGTTTGGAGGGTCTGGAGAATTTCAAGGTAAAGTACATGCCAAACTTGAGAAACCTTCCGTTCGCGAAGAAAACTCGGTAGTGAGACTCGTTTGTTGAGCATAGCTAGCTTAAATAAAATCACAAGCTCAAATTGATCTAAAATACAAAGGCGCCATCACACGTTAGGGAAATCATCATCACGCATTGTTCCACGATGTGGTTGTCACCTGAGGGAGAAACAAAAAAGACGGACAGCATTTAATAAATAACATCGCATCTCAAATATTCCTTCTGTAAGTACATGAATTGGGACATACATTTTGTCTCATCGTTCACTTCCCTTGTAGTACATACTCACTAAATTCAAAATAATATGAAAAACTTCGCGAGGACGGTGAGCCAACCCTTTACCTTCATTAAAAAAAAAAGAAGATAGCATTCTTACGTGAATTGCCAAGATACGACCTGAGTATTGAACGTTCCATGACGTGTATATTAGTGAGTAAGAAATCATCAGTTAAATTTCAAGAACTGAAGACAAGCATTCGAATATTCCTCATTCAAATATTTAACGGTCGTCAGAGCAATTTTTAGTTTCACCAAACCTCCCAGACCTCTTAAAGTTCCATTTCATGTACGGTTTGAACTCTTTGGAAGGCAAGCGCTTCTTTTGAGCCATCACTCTGAGCAAACAACTCGTATCGAGATTAAGTACTCAGGATCACTCACTTTCTTCAGATTGCCTCTACCGCCATGAGTTCTGATGGCAGACAACAAATCGTTCCTCGGATCCGCCTGCACTGGAACATTTCTTGCCGGCACGATCTTCTTCCCAGTTCGCGTCACGTAAACATTAGTTGTGTCTTGCTGTTTCCACGAAGCTGGTGCTGTTGGTGGCGGTGGTGGTGGTGCAGGAGCAGATGACGCCACATCCTGCTTTTCCATCACAGCAACCACAACCGCGCCGAAGTGTCTACAGTGGAGTCAGCCGCAGGTGGGTAAGGAGACGAAGTAGAGGAAGCTGAACTGGTATTTAAGCAAGTTATAAAGGAGAACGTTTGAGCCGAAACGGCCGCGGCCCCCATCAACCTGCTGTTGTAGCTTTTGAACCGGCGGCCTGAAGGGCTTGGGCTTGTAGAACGCCGGCGGCTGCGGTGGAGTAGGCGTCGCCACCTTCGGCGGTGGAGGCGTAGGCGTCACCACCTTCGGCGGTGGAGAAATAACTTTAGGCGGCGGAGAAACAACTTTAGGCGGTGGAGAAACAAATTTAGGCGGTGGTGGTGCTGCTACTGTTGCTGGTGCTGCGGTGGTGGTGACGACAACTGCTGGCACTGACTGAACGGCTTTGGCGTAAGATGACGCAATATAAGACGCTCTCTTCATCCAAGATGGCTGCTCCGAAGCTTCTTCCGGTACACTCGGCTTGATGAAGCTGACTGGACGCGATCTCAAGACTGGGACAGCGTCTTTCGTGTTCTCCGCGTCACCAGATGGTCGGGACGCCAGCATCTTCACCTTGTCTCGGATGCTAACACCTTCCGAAACTTGGGTCGTGCCCGAGAGTTTCTTCTCCGCGTTCTTTTCAAAGGTCGACTCCGTCTTCGGTTCTGTATTTGGCGTGGGAATCGCCTCATCCGCGAAACTCTTCGGCGGTTCAACAATTTTCGGGCCCTGCAAAAAATACAAAACACAAGATTTCCAAGATGTTTCTTGAATTGCGGAACTCGAAGATACAAGTAAAGATGGAGATTTCCGTATTCAAGATGCACAGACGTCACATCATGTACTTAAAGCATCTCGAAGACGGATGTAGAAGACGCCATGTCAGCTTAAATATCACTCCCAACGCATTAATACGAAGTACGGTATTTACCCAAGTACCACATGCCCTCATTTAAGAGGAACAAAGGTTCAAAATTGAAAAAAAAACAGATCTCTTCTAAAAAGCGCGCCCAAATTTACAAAAAAAATGCATTAATACTGCGCTGTATTTCTTAAAATGCATAATTTACGCTGTAAATTGATGAAGATTGATGTACCGTAACTTAGAATTAGATGTCACATTAAAATAATAATGGAACTTATTCTAGTACAGTATTTTTCTAATTAAAATTTTATGCGCTTATGGTTTCCTTGTCTAAAGTATAAATGAACCTTGACTCAATCATTAATGGCTTAATCACACTTCAGTAGAGAGTTTCTTGCTGGAGTTGTTTATCCAATCATCACTTGCACCAGCATTTCTAAAAAGGTTGACACTCGCGTTCATACTGTATTTACTCAAGTACCACGAGTAAGACGCGCACCAGAGCAGGAATTCTGTTGAAATTTTTGATAAAATGGTATCCCTGAGTAAGACGCGCACCCCACCCCACTTTTGGTGACTCTAAAACTGCAATACAGTATTTGAAAGATCATAACACTCAAATTTGATCTTAGATACGAATTGAACCCGATTTCAATAAATTTTCAATCGTTCCCATCATAATACGTTTTTCTGCTAAACTTGGTCCAAAATTTCCCATTACAATCCAAGATAATGGAATCTCAAACTTTTAAAACTTTTTGAAAAAGATATGCTCACTTATGACGTGCCCCTCATTTTACCTGAAGAAATAAAGATGCGCGTGGAACTTGAGTGAACACATTACTCATTTAAACATGAGTTTCATAAAAAAAATATTAACTACGGACATATGCTGTATTTAAATGTCTTAAGCGTTTTTTACTTTAACTTTATATTTGTGCATGGACATACCTTCACCGAGGCGGCTATAGGAACCAGAAGTCGATCGCAAACACGTGTTTATCCGGCTTCCGGTCTTGCCAGGAAGCCAGCGAGATTTTCGGCGGGCCTTGATACGAATACCTCCGAACTTCTTCTTCCAACTCGCTCGGTTCCGACGACTCACTCGTCGACGGCCTCCGTTCTTCCGCCGCGACAACAACAGGAGCTTCCGGTTCCTTGTCCTCCGCCACGTTCAAGTGGGTCAACGACTGGCTTATTTGCGGAAGTAGTCCTCGCATCAACTTTATTCGGAATCAATCGAAAATGTTTTAATCGTTACAAATAAACAGTGAATATAAAGAAGACACTAGTTTTGAAAGTTGAATTAGAATCGCACCTCGACGGACTGAAGAGGCGGTGACGGGAGAATCATGGAACTGGATCCGGTCAGGATGATGCTTTCCTTGGAAACGACTCTGGGGCCGTCGATAGAAACAGAGTCACTCGGATCTGTGCAGAAATACGGTATTAATATCAAGTAAAAGTACCGTAAAATAACTAAATTATAGAAATGTGGATGAAATATTGCAAATTTTTGCTTAATTCCGCAGAAAACTCATAAAATACTGTTTACAGTACTTGATAAAATATTAGCAGAAAACATAGGATTTCAAAGATAAATCTCGGATGGTAAAATATTGTACATTTGATCTCTAAAAGTGTCAATTTTTTGAGGAACATCTCTACGAAAAATTTCCCCGGAAGAATTAGTAGAGATGTTCTCAAAAATCGAATATTTTAGAGATTAGATATATTTCCAAATTTGTTTGTTCGTTAGAAAATCCCTCGTTTTCTGGGGATATTTTATAAAGTTTTTCCGCAGAAGACAGCCAAAATTCAACCAGCATTTAACTTTCTCCATGAAAAAAAATTTCCTGAAACTGCTAAATTCTAAAGATTTCGAGAAAAAACCAGTGGGAAAAAGACGAAGAATTTATTTATACGGTAATGGATCTGAAAACTTTATCGCCACGAGATTTCTACCGCCGGAAAATTTTAAAATCATATTTTTACGCTTATCTATGAGCAATGAAATATTCGGAAGATTCTCATTATTTCAAGCAAAATCGTGGACAAGAAAAGACACAAATAATCAATTTCTTGTACAGTACAATAATCAAAACTCAATTAACCAGATTTTACAGAAATATCGCTGGTGGAATTTTTAAAATTTAAGCTTTTCATCATCATTATTGCGGGTAAATAAATATTCACGAGATTCCATCAATACAGTATTATGAAATTATGTTGGGATTTCTGACGAGAATTATATTTTCTCGCGTTATCACAAATAAATAAATAGATATTATGCATATATTTTTGAGCTTCACCCCATTTCACGGGAAATACTGACCGGATAGTTGCGAGGCTATTCTGAGCGGAAGTACTTCCGACTTCCCACCACAACCGGCCTGGTCCAGAATCCCAACAGCTTCCGAAAATGAAGTCGGCCTCCTTTTCCCCAAGCAGCTCAAGACTGGCAGTGATTGATTCGTGCGCTCAGGGGAAATTCGACGAACAACAAACGGCACTTCGATCACCTCTTCTTGCCTAAAAAAAAAACATCCACACATCAGTATTCTTATTATTGAGAAACGATTTTTATTTTCACTGGAATACTAATGTATCAAAAACCCTCGAATATATAGAATACACGTATCTTTCCATGGTTCCTCGAGAAATGAAAAATTTTTGCTGGGAGACGAAAAACGCACTTCAAGAGTGTATTCATTTTTTGTCACAGAATATCAGAGGAGCTCTGTTAATTCTTTTCAAACTTCAGCAACACTTTCAACTGAAATCAGGACTGAATTTTACCTTTCGTCCATTTGATGTAAATAATATTTTTTTAAGGTTCCTCATCGAGAATGAAAAAATTCTGCCGGGAGATGAAAAACGAATTTGAAGGGTGCATTCATTTTTTTTTTTTTTGTCTCAGGATATCAGAGACAATTTTTCGTCCATTTGACGTGAATACGGTAATGGAACTTCTTCTGATAGAATTTCGTAAGATTTTTATTTGAAAAAAATTGCGTCGATCATAAGCGATCACACGATTTCACTATTTCACTCTGCGAATGCAAGAAGCCTCAAACATCAAAGAAGACATATCAAATATGAAACAATCCCGGATGATGAAAAAAGATAATATTTTTGCACAAAAACAATTTGTTGTAATACATTTTGGAAGATTCATCTCGAGAATTTTTAGCACTTTCTCTGCCGAAAAATTTTTAAAATTCCCCTCACAGGATAATTCGGCAGGAAATAAATTATTCGCAATATTTCGATGATTTCAAGGAACGCAGCGGAAAAAGGCGAAGAATATCAATTTACTGCGAAGACTTTCGAAAAAATCGTCGTTACGAAATTTTACAAAATTTTCACTGCCGGGAACTTTTTCAAAATGCAAATATTTCAAGCTTTCGACCGCCAAATGTGAAACAACTCTGCCATCAAAGATGAAATAAAAAAGACGATGACCTCCGTGATAAAAATAAAATAATTCTTTAAAAAAATGGAAATAAAATTGCGTTTCATACTCGAAATAAATTCGGTCACAGTTCTATTTTTTTTTCTTCCTTAAACTTTTGCAGTCGAATACAAAGGACTCACTTCGTCGGCTGAACGTCAGAATGTCTCGCCCAAATCTCAACAGACGTAACATTCTTTTTCCTCGTCGTCTCTTCCACCTCGTCTCCGTCATCACTCTTCGACTCCAACACAGGTTCTTCAGAAGCGAATCCCACGGGGACCGAATCCAAAACCGGTAATTCTTCAAAGTTGAAATCATCCCCGGCTTGAACCCCGGCGTCATTGCTGTAACAGCGCACTTGGCGGTGACCTTCTCAGAACGCTAAGTCGTTTCTTAGGCTCAGAAGAAGCGGCATCCGACTATACCACTTCGGATACTACAAACGACCGCAACGAACGTGACGGTACAGTACAGCGTCAGGTCTATTGGAAAAGAAAATTTGGTTCAATTTCACAGCCTTTCATACGTCACTTTCAATACCATTTTTTAAATCGTGGTTATCTAAAATATATTACATGCATCCAAAATGTTAATTTCAGAATTGGGAGTACTGTATATTTAAAATTTCGTTCGCTTCACTTTCCAAAATTCCCCCAAGATCAGATCAGATTAGAGCTAATCTGCAAATGTTTGATGGAATTCATGAAGATTTGAAAAAAAATGTACCAAACAAGCTACAGAATTAGACACATTTTTAATTTTTCTTCGCTTGTATTCCCTAAAAATGCCACTACATCAAATCTGAGATAATCGGTTAATGTTCAATGGAATTCAGGGGTTATATTTAAATTTTAAAATACTGTACAGATAATTAGCCAATAATTTGAAGAGAAACATTTTTGCATTTCCCAAAATTCTATTCATTGGTGAATGTTGCATGAAATCATAGTGAAACGACTGACGCCAATAAGTACAAACAGTTTACAAAAATAGTTAAATGCATTTAAAGACTTTAAAGAATTATAGAAACATAAATAGGTTACAACAGACTAAGCGAATGAATACAATAAACAATCAATAAACAATAGACAAAAAACGGAATCCAACAAAAATGTAAAAAACGCAGACCACTGTTGGTTAAAAAGTGCGAATAGTAGAACTGAAGTCAAATTTTTTTTCAGTATTTCTAGATTAAAGATACGCAAATGAATAATCTTTAAATAATAAAAGGATCATTCCTCAAATCCCCAAAATTTTTTTTTCTGTCAAAATATAAATTTTCTTAAAAGGGAAAATTTGATCAGCCTTTTCCTTCAATATACTTGAAAAAAAATTTTCTCTGCATAATACGAAAGCAAAGGAACGAACTTTAGATGAGGGAAAATTATTAAACGTTGAAGTGGCTTTTCCTTTTTGTTTTTAGTCTTATACAGTGTACCATTTTTCTTTTGGTAAAAAGTAGGAGAAAGTTTTTTAATCTTCCCATTTTCCCCCACTTAAAATAAGCAGTGTCTGCAAAAAAAGGACGAGACGTTCGACACACGATGCACGAAGAAAAAAAAAAAAAAAAAACACGCACCGTTTCACAGGAAGTTCCACTTGATCCGCCACAGAAACTACTCCATCATCTACAACGTCTTCGACCAGAACAACTTCCGGCGGCGGCACGGGCGTCTTCGGCAACGGCGGCGGTGTCGACGACCGCGACATGCTCGAACTCGTCGACGCCCCCGAACGAACCGACCTCGCAGTGCTGCCACTGTCCACACTCGACGTGGACACCGTCGAATCCCGTCGGTCCCGCTTTTCCCCCTCGTCAGAGTCCACGTGAGCTGCTTGTGGTGCAACAACAAGAGCCCCGACAACATCCTTTTCTTCTTCTTCATCGTTATCATCAGCGGGAAGAGGAGGAGGAGGAATAAGGGGAAGGTCGAGAACGGCAACAGCAGCAGGTGCCTCCGATTGTTGTAGTTGTTGTTCTTCTTCTTCTTCGTCTGGCTGATTATGAACACTGTAGTCGGTTTCTGTTGGTCCAGGGGAAGGACTAGAAAGACACTTGAGTTCTTCGTCAGACTCGTCGCCGTCTTCCTCGCACTGGCTGCTGATTTCCACACTGGGCTTGAAAGAGTCC